TCTGGCCCTCCTCGGGGTGCGCGCCTCGCCCCGGCCGGCTGGGCGTTATCAGAGCCGGAAGCCGGCCGGGAGATAACCGGCTCCCGGTCTGGTGGCCTCTTCCTCTGCAATATTTTTCATTTCTTTTTCCTGGAATAATCAGACTGCAGCTGAGGTGTTTGAGCCCTCAAGGGCGCATGGGCCCCGCCTCCTACCGCGGGGACCCTTCACCCTCCTGAATCTCCAGTGCGTTCTGTAGGTCTCCCCGACCTCGCCGATGAACCCACAGCAGAATCTCTTGAGGAAAAGGGGTTCTGGAGGTTTGGGTTGGGTGCTGGGGCGTGAATGCAGAGGTGGCCTCTCCACTGCACTGAGCCGAAGGCTTTAGGTGGAAAGACACTAGAATCCCCCTGCTTAATGAATCTGAATGTAATGCCCAGCCTCACAACCTCCCATCGGCACAAACGAGATTATAACGCAGTTTTCCTTTTTCGTTTAATCGTTGTCATTATTAGCATTCCGATTTTACAGATTAGTCAGTCAACTGAGGTTTAGAGAGTGACCAGCATAAGGGCGACTGCAGGTGGGAGACCTATAGACGGAGCCTGCAGTTGTTAAGCGCGTATGCATTCACCGTCCCTCAGACATTACAAGACTTCTATTATTTAATTCTCTGGGCATCCCTAAGAAATAAGTGCTGCTCTTATCCCTTTTTCACAAGTGAGGAAACTGAGGCACAAAGAGATTGTTGTTACTTCCACAAAGTAGCCAGGAGTAGTGCTGGGATTCAAACCTGGGCCGTCTATACCACTCTTGACCTTTATACTTCTCTGGCTAGTGCCCAGCTTTGGAGGCTGTAAATCCCAGAAACCCAGAAAGACTGGCATGGGGCATGTGCCTCTGGCTACCTGTGAGACAAGTAGTAGCTGCTGTTAGTCCGTCAGGTTGGTAGGTGTGCTTGGCAGGGCAGTGACCTTTTCCATCGTTTTTCAACCCCCCAGCACATGTTTCCAACCACCATTCTCAGGAAACATTTGTACAGATGTCCCTGATGTTCAGAGGCCTGCCATTGGCCACAGTATGTAATCCATTTATTCACTCTTTCGGAGCACCCTCTGCCAGTAGGAAACAGGCTACAGTAGGTACTGGGGATACCATGATTCACAGTCTTGCCTTCAGACAAGCAAACAAGAGTGCCAGCTTGGGGTGGCGAGCCCTGAGAGGCAGGGTGTGCTGACATTCTTCTGGAAGCCCTAGAGGCTCAAAACCCAGACTGGGAAAACCAGGGCAAGCCCCCAAAGGGAGCTGCACCTTCCAGACCTGACAATTGCACAGAAGCAACCAGGGGAATAGAACAGGAGGAATGCAGGGTGTCCCAGACAAAGAGGAAGCACATGCAAAACCTGGAGGACAGGTAAAAGTTTTGCAATTCTCTATTGACTATCTGACTCATGCACAGGTGTAAGCTCCAGGAAAGCAAGCAGGCACTCTTTTCCAGCTCTGAGTCCCTAGCACCTACCCAGTGCTAGCCAGGGTCTATCCCTTAAAAGACAATGAATGGATGTGCACCTGCCTCAATATGGCTTGTGTTTCAGAGCCAGCCCTTATGATATAGAGCTCCTTCCATTCCCTGCCTTTTCAAGCCTCTGTCAAAAGCCGCCACCCCGAAAGTCTGATATTCATCATTTACACTGAAGTTTATTTTAAAATATACCCCCACAAACACGAACACACAAACACCCCTCATTTGAAGCTGTTTCTCTATAAATGAGAGTGTTACCCACTGAATGTTTTCATCCCCCTGAAATTCGTATGTTGAAGCCCTAATCATCAAAGTGATGACATTTGGAGGTGGAGCCTTGGGAAGTAATTAGGTTTAGATGAGGCCATGATGGCAGGGGGCCCCCATGATGGGATTAGTGCCCTTGTAAGAAGAGGAAGGCACCAGAATCTCCACCATGTGATGATACTGCAAGAAGGCAGCCATTTGTAAGCCAGGAAGACAGCCCTCACCAAGAACTGAATCTGTTGGCACCTGGATCTTGGACCTCCCAGCCTCTAGAACTGTGAGAAATAAATGTCTGTTCTTTAAGCGATTCTCCCACCCCACCAAGTCTATGGTATTTTATTATAGCAGCCCAAGCTAAGACAGGGACTTAAAGACTTATCCTCTTAGAAAGCTGACAGGCCTTCTGTGTAGCAGGCCAAGGCAGAGTGCCTTTTTAAAACCCTTGCTCATTTCCTTTCTCAGCTCTCAACATGGTAAGTTAGCCATCAGGGTCATGAGTATCCAGTGCTCTCTCTCATTTAGAAGCAGATGATCTGACACTAAAGTAGGAAAGTTTAGATAATGGCCTGGGGGCTAGTTAGCTTGCTTCCTGTCTTCCAACCTCAGCTTCTGAGAAGCAGCCTGCTCCCCCAACACACACACTTACACCTGTGCATGCACGCACACATGAATACAGACATGGGTGCCCTCTAATACCCCCACTTTACCAGGGTGGGGCCAGGGTAGGGCCAGGGTAGAGGAGCTGGCCTCACTGAGTCACTCACAGCCCATTGCCCAAGAGAGCAGAGGAACAGAGTGAGAACTCAGTCTAGGTTGAGGAGGGAGTGGATAGGCTGGGAGCTGCCACAATCAGAATGGAGCTGTGGGTTCTGGTAGGGTGGGTGGAAAGCGGAGGGAGAGCCAGGGCAAAAAGAATTCCCTTGAGGCCCCTGGAGCGATGCCCAGATCCATTGCTCCAGGACAAGGCCCCATGTGGCACAAGTTTACTGAGCACCTAATGTGCTTCAGGCTCTGCACTGGCCCCAGATGAAACAAAGACAGATAAGGTGTGGTCACTCACTGCACCGAACTCAGATTTATAGACAGCGGCTTTGCATACATATACATGTAACTACCAAAAAAGTGGTGTTTATGTGTGCTTTTAAGTAATGCAATCATGCGGTACTTGTTATTCAGCAACTTAGTTTTTACACCAATTTTTTTTTTAAGCTCTGTCCATGTTGATAAGCAGAGATCTTGCTTATTCCTCTCAACCTCTTTTAGGATAACTATGTCATCACAAAAAAATATGCTATTTTTTACTTAGCCAGCCTCATCCTGATGGACATTTAAGTTTTAGCTTTTAGCCTTCACTTAGGGGAGAGAAGACTCCTGATTCAGGGTGACGAGTGCAATGCTAGTGATGTGCATATCATATGGAGGATGTCGAAGGCTGCGGCCACCTCCAGACTGACAGGCACCCCCTGCACACATACTCCTCCTTCAGGGTTAGTGCACAAGAAAATGCCTGGAAGATTAAATTGAAGCCATTGAGGGAGATGTGGCATTGACCAGAAAGTCACCTAAATTTCTTCATCCTTGATATCCAAGGGCGTCTGAGTAAATTCCCTGCTGGTCTGGGAAGGGGCTGCAAGCAGAAGATCCTCCTCTCTCTATTATCCTCAGGACCTAAGGATACCTAGACATTTCCTCCACTGTAAGACTTAAAAAATATATTTTAATATTTCTAAAGTCAGGATGCATTTTACAAATCAATAGCTTTATCGGCCTGGACTGAAGTTGAGTCCTTCCCCAGAGGATTTCTGTTGCTTCTGTCAGTCACCGGGAGTCATCCCACCTGGGGAGTAGGAAAGGCTTCATGGAAGTGAGGCTGAGTCTTGAAAGATGAGTGTATACAGCAAGACGGGGGAGAAGAGAATTCTAGGCATACAGCAAGTGCTCAAAAAATAAGCGCACTGTTCCTCTTTGGGCCTGGCAGGGTCTGGACATGCTAAGCATAAGAAGAGGTGCTGCCTTAGCATGCACGTACTGGTATCTTAGCTGGTACCCTGCTGACTCTGCACCCCTATTAAGTCCAGCGTACTCAGGATCCTGGTCTGCCTACACCTGGGTTTTCCCTGGAAAATGGGCTTGGAGTAGGAAAGTTTACTCATCCAGCAGAAATGGGAGTAGGAGATAGGTGTGGCTGGCAAGTTCAAAGTTGGAAAATGATTTTCTACCATAACTGGTTTGCTGGGCTTGGAAGGCACCAGTTAGCCCTGTGGGCAAAGGGGAAATGACACACTGGACCGTAAAAAGAGCACAGGACATTCCTTGTTCACATGTGGCCTAGGAAGCACATTGGCCTTTCTCTCTGCTGAAGAGCACCCCAGGGGGGCAGCTCAGGCCTGTGCCAAGCTGAGGCTTCCTGGGGAACCTCGCTATAGAAGGAGAAGGGCCTGGGGACTGGTCGCAGTCCCAGTGCTGGCCATAAGCCCTGTGTATGAGGTTACCTTCCTTCTCTGACCACACAGGGCATGAAGAATGGGCTGGCTTAGTGGTTCTCAGCTCAGACTGCACATTAGAACCACCTGTGGGGTTTGTAAGACCTATAGATGCCCATACCTCACCCCAGACAGTGAAATCGGTATCATGGAGGGCAGAACCCAGCATAGTTTTGTTTCACATTTAAGCTCCTCAGGTTATTCCGATGTGTGCCAAGCAGAGAGCTCCTGGACTGGACCATTTCTCAGTCCTCTCCATTAGTCTCATCTTATGAAATCAGCTTGTCAAGAAGTGTGCATATTTCTCCCTCCTTCTGTTCTCAGAACACCCACCATTGAGTGTGGTAGAGTCTCACTTGCATCTTATTTGTGGTTTGATTTTGACAAACCTATAGATACTTTCTGACCAGTCTTAGGTTTGCTTGGTTCAATAAATAGTTCCTGAGCACCTACTATGCGAGGGCCACCAATCCAAGAGCCAGAGATACTCAGCACAGTCCCTGCAATGAGAGATCACATGATTCAGAGGGGAGGGCAGATCCTAACCTGGTAATTTGAGGTCAGATGCCCTGGGAGCATTGAGAAAGGCATTTAGCTCAGTTCAGAGTTGTGAGGAGGCTTCCTGAAGAAGAACCTTGAAGGTAAAGTAGGAAGTAGCTATGTGAGCAGGGAGGGAGAAAGTTCTGAGCAGCAGGAAATAGTGAGCTCAGACATAGCATGGCCATCTTCTCTCCCTTTGGGCCAGTAGCGGGATGATAATTCTTTAGTTAAACCAGGGTTTTCAACTCTTGCTGGTTTCTTCATATTCAATCTGAAAGTCGTCTTAACAGTTAAAGGAATGGAGCTTGGGTAGGTCTCGGATCTTAGGCGGAAGGTGTAGGTGGAGGGTGCAGGGTTTGGATGGGGCTTGTGACAGAAGCATGGTTCCCAGAAGGTACCAATAGACTTCTGGTCCCAGTTATGGAAAGGCGCAGAAGCGTGGCATTCTCTGATAGAGAAGCAACTGGCTGCCATATATGCAGCCCTTCTGGCCAGTGCAGTCCACATAGGCCCTAATCCTGTTACCGTGCAGTCCACATACCCCATGGAGGGGTGGCTGTGGTTTTAGGTGAAGACTCCCCATAGGGGAATTGCACAGACCAAGTGAGGGGTGTACCTGAAGCAGCAGACACAGTTTTCTGCAAGCCACTGTCAAGTCAGCTGTACTCCCTATTGGGACGAGTGCAGTTCCAAGCAATGCTCCTGGCATAGCCTGCTGAGATGAGAGACATACTGAGTCCCTCTGTAGAGGGTCAGGCTCCCATCCCTTAGGATGCCTGGTACACAGACGGCTCATACCATGGAACAGGTAGCAAAGCGATGGGGGCTATCATTGACCCAGGCTTAAGCACAAGTTGCCGTGTCATAATGCCCCTGGTGTGCTGAGCAGCACCCAGAGAGACAGCAGGTAAAGAGAACCCCGGGGGTGATGCTCCACAGGGCTAAGCCACTCAAGGAATGGTAAGTGGATTGTGGGCCCAAGGTAGCACCCTCCAGGCCAGATCCTGCACTGTGACCCTGTAGGAGTGGAGTGTGGGTCCCAGGCCTGGCTGTGATCCAGGCCAATGGCTAGGAACAGGACTCCAGATTTAGAATGTAATAGGGTGCCTGCACCTAACATATGTAAACATAATTCAGCTTATTATATCACACATGTGTGGCCGAATGCCACTATTGTACTCTGATATATATGAAGCCATGTGGTCCCCTGGGGAGCAGAAGAGAAGCAGAAGCATGTTCCCCTCAGAAGCATTCTCTGCACAATAGGACAGCGCTCCCCACAATAAAGTTGGTGCTTGCCATTTCATTCTCATACTGGCCCCTTGTGCGTTCTTCCAACTGGGCGTCTCACCACCAAAACCTTCCCTTCTTGATCAGCTCGGCACTGACAACTATTTACTCCAGATCGCACAGCTGTTACCGGCAGACCTAAATGCTGAACACAGCCTATCTGACTCCAGAGTCTATGAATGCATCTGATGAGTACACACACTGTCTCAATTCTGTTCACCAGAACCTGTCTCCTTTCAATCTCTACCCACTGGTCCTTTTTATGGTGATGGCTGGGTGTCCCAAGTCTTTCCCTCTCCAAGATGAGAAGTTCTGCAGCAGAGGCTGGTCTCCGGCCTGGCAGAGTGGTGTTAGCAGAGTTGGAGAAGGAGGGGAGATGCTGGCCTGCGGGGATGCTGGGAGCGCCCTCGGTGCCAGCTTTGCCCTAAAGTCTTGCAGAATCATTACTGCTGAAGTTCTAAAAGCATGGTCCTAGGACCAACAGGAGTAATACCTAGAAATCTGTTAGAAATGCAAACTTCGAGCCTCACCCCAGACCAAAAGAGTGAGAAACTGAGGCTGGGTCCCAGCGGTTGTGTTTTAACAAGTCTTCCAGGTGGTTCTGATACAGCTAAATGTTGAGAAATATTGTTATAGCATTAGAGGGTGGGGCGCAAATGGAATTACTTATCTCACCTGTTGCTGTGTTCAAACGGCCCTCTCTGCAGGGGCTCTGAGAAGAGATTGGGCTGAACTGGTTGGGCACCAAATTAACTAATAGATTTCCACATGGAGCCTGTGATGCTGAGTTGGTGCTCCACAAAAGTTAGTCCCTCTCACTTCTGTTCCCAAAAGCTCATTAAATGGAATGAGACTGGATTCAATTCTAATGGCCCAGAATCAGGGATTCTTCTGGATAAGAAATCAGGGAAGGGAGATCTTTTGCCTGTTGGAATTGTTTCTAGCTGTCAAGCTCTCTCACCCACCTTTTTGGTTTGTGTTTTATTGACTCATTGATATCCAAGTTGTGATGATCCCTAATTACAAAAGAGGAAATGGTGGGTCAGACAGGGGAAGGGATTTATGCGATCACCCCGCCAGGGCGTGTGCAGCCAAACAGAACCTGGGTCTTTGATTTCAGAGTTTGTGTGGTGTTGCTCTCCCCAGGCTTCTCCAGACAGCATTTCACCCTCCTCTGCCACCCTCCACTCCCACAGACAGGTGTGCCTTCTTGGCACCTGGGGAGAAAAGTTGAGTTGACCTCTCACGAAGCCTGCTACATTTCTATTCTACCATCAGAGAAGGAGCTGGGAAGAATACCGGGTAAGTGTGGTGGCCCAGAAATCACAAGGGTGTTTCAAGCTGGAGAGAGTGGTCAGCAGTGTCCTAGGAGGAGGTCATCTGCTGAGAAAGAGAAGGAATTTGGAGGTCCAAAGAGATTGGAAGGACCTTGTCTTAGTAACTGTGGAAAGAGGAAGTATAAATTTACATGAAAGACAGTAAGATTGGCAGTATGGAGGGTGCTCTTGAATTTGGTGATCTTGAATGTACACTGGAAATAGTGGGCTTTGTCATTTTGGAGAGTGTCTGCTGTGGGAATTCTGCAGTGCTGACACTCAGGTTTGGGCAGAGAAGTAGAGAGTCATTGATCGAGGACTACGGTTTTACTAGGCAAATTTGACGAACAGGCCAGTGGAGTTTAAAGAACTGGCAGGAGTGTTTAGGATGTGATGGGCATGGAACCCAGGCTAGGCAGAGAAGGAAGTAAGGATGATGGATTGGGAAAAATAGAGTGAGTTGGAGCGGAAGGACCAAGGAGGCTAATGGGAGAAGTTGAACAGTAAACAAAGGAGAGAAGGTTGTAGTCAGAGCAGGCTGCTTTACTGGGGGCCAAGGTGGAGTAGGAGAATGTGCTTGTGGAATAGGGATGGACTGTCTGTGGGAATGCTGGAACTAGGGGGCAGAGTGCTCACATTGTTGAAAAGGAGAGAGTAGAACAACCCCAAGGGAACAGGATTTTTGTTTTGCAAGAGGGCATAACTGTGATCATCTAAATCAGTGCTGTATATGCAGTATAATGCGAGCCATACATGAAAGCCACATGTTTTCATTTAACTTTCTAATAGCCACATTAATTTCATCTATTTCTTTTTACTTTAATTTTAAAACATATTTTGTTCAACCCAATAGATTCAAAATATCATTTCAACATGTAATCAATGTTAAGATTACTAATATATTTTGTTTAACCCAATATATCCAAAATATTACCATTTCAATGTGTAATCAATGTAAAGATTATTGAGATATTTTACGTTCTGTTTAACATACTAAGTCTTCAAAATTTGATGTGTATTTTACACTTAGAGCACATATCAATTCGATTAGCCAATTTCAAGTGCTCAATAGCTATCTATTTGTGGCTAGCAGCTACCGTTTGGGAAAGCTCAAGTCTAGACTCCTGCTTTTTGTCATATCTGTCTCTCAAATCTTTACTAGCACTGAGCAATATGTTATTTGGGAAAACAAAAAAGTGAAAAACTCCACCTCTATACTCTAAGTGCCTTATCTTATTGGAGGCCACTGTGGGGCAGTGAAAAGAGGGTTGAGTTCCAGACCCAGGTCTGACTTTCTACTTGGCATGGACTTGGGCACTTATATTATGCCTCTGAGCCTCAGGTTCCTCTCTTGCCCTATGCATCTTTCCTCTGGCTGTTTCTGAGTTGGATCCTTTATAATAAACTGGTAATAGTTTGCTTAGTGGTCAAATAAACAACTACCTTGAAGCAAAAAGCATAATTTCTTAACCAGTCTCCTACCTGGCTTCACAGATCGAAACAATCCTTGCTGAGTGCTTTTGTCAGTTGTGTGAATGTGAATTACTAACATTTTCTAAAGTAAAAAATCTGGAGATCAGACCCAGTGTTAGCATTCCCTTATTGTTTTAAGTAATTCACAAACTTCCCAAACTATTCCAACTGTTAAAAAGGGTATAGAGTGAAATGTAAGGCTTTCTCCCACCCCAGACACACAATCTCCTCCCCAAAAGGAACCACAGCTCCTGGTTTGTAGTGTATCCTTCTGGAGGTACATTTATATTGATAAGTGCGCACGTGTATGTGTGTGTGTATGTATGTGTGTATACTTAAATGGAAACATGTACACGCTGTTCTGCCCTGTGCTTTTTCATTATTTTTGACATTATCTAATACTAATGCATATAGATCAACCTCATTTTTTAATGTCTCTCGTATTCCAAAGCATGAACGTTGATAATTCAAAGTATGAATATTGATAGTTTATTTAACTAGTTGTGAAATGATAAGAAATATATATGGTCTCTGCTCCAGGTTTTTAACACAGAGTTCCTAAAACCCTAGCAATTTCCTGAGTGATATGGGAGTGATAAGAGCATCTTTTTTTATAATATTTGGTCTTAGTCCCTGAATCCTGACACAAAAGCTTTTAAACTCCTTGAAATCACCAGAGTGATGAGTGTCTTTTTGTTTATTAATGGGGAGACTCTTGGAAGATGAGGGCTGATTGGCAGAGGAAGCAATCATGTGATTAGAAGGTTCAGACTTTTAGCCTCCCCGCTCTGGCTTCCAGAAAAGGAAGAGACTAGGATTGAATTAATCACCAATAGGATTTCATTCAGTCATCCCTATAGAATGAAACATCCTGCACCCTACCCCAGAATAAACCAAACTGAAGGAATTCAGAGAGCTTCTAAGTTGGTAAACACAACAAGCTGCTGGGAGGGTGACATACCCAGAGAGGGCATGGAACCTCCACGCCCCTTCCCACATACCTTGCCCTATGTGTCTCTTCCATTTGGCTGTTCCTTTGCAGTAAACAGGGAATACTAAGTAAAGTGATTTCTCAAGTTCTATGAACTATTCTAGCAAACTCTCAAGCCTGAGGAGGGGTCGTGAGAACCCCTGATGTGTAGCCAGTTAGTCAAAAGTACGGGAGGCCAAGCCTTGTGATTGGCGTCTGGAGTTGGGGGCAGTCTTGTGAGACTGAGCCATTAACCTGTGGGGTCTGTGCTGACTCCACGTAGGTAGTGTCAGAAGTGTTGTAAGACACAGTTTTCCTTTACCAATGAACACATAGTTTGTCTCTAGTCTTTTACTACGACCATTGACTATACTTTGCTTCAGTTTCGATACTTACACATATATCTTTGCATCTACGTGCCCTTATTACTAGTAGAATAAGTTCCTAAAAGTGGAATTCTGGGGCTAGAGGTATGTGCTATTTAAAAAATTCTATAGATTTTATCATATTGCCCTCCAAGCAGGTTACACCCATTGACAATCCCCATGGTCATGTTTGAGTATAACTCCTGCACACACCTAACAACGTGTTATTATCAAACTTCTTCATCTTTACCAGCCTGATAGTGGCCAAGTCATTCAACTTTCCCAGACTGCGTTTCACTGTGATAGTTGTGTATGACAGCTAGTACCTAACAGGTATTACCAATAGAAATGCTGGCTATTGCTATTTTAGAGTTATTTTTCTGGTTGGGGTACAAACACAGGAACCTGATGAGGGGAGCAGTCTATCATCTTCTATCTAAACCTACTTCTGTCCACGTTGCTTGGGTTTGGTTGACATCTGGGTGACTTTCCAAGACCCTTAAACAGCAAGATCATGGGGGAGCTCCTTCAGGGATGAGCTGAGCTTTGGTCTCTGAGTACTCAGGCTCTGAGTGCAGGGAATTACTACCTGAGCTAACAGGAGGGACAGGTACCCTGTAAATTACGTGCAGATGTCAGTCATCAACCCTATTCATGGCATCTAAATCCAAAAGGCAGTTTTGGGGTTGCTGTGTTGGCCTCCAACATGACGCTGTGTTTCCAGAATTCCTTGCTTGTTTCAAGAATGGCAGAAGTGAGGCAAAGACATGGCATTTTAGTTGTATGAAACTCTACCACTTCTACTCCTAGCTATTTGACTCTCAGCAGACTTGGGGCTGGGAAAGGGGTTTTGCCGGCACCTCCCTCAGCCAGATCCATTGCCCCCTCAGCTCAACATAGATCCTCCCTTCCTTCTCTCTCTAAATAGGCAGCAGTTTGACAGGCAGGCCATACATGTCTTCATTCATTCATTCATTCATTCATACAATTAGTAAATATTTGGTCCTGTTTAAAATGTCCATACTTAGAAAATGTCCCTGGGTTCAAAGGGTTCATAATGTTTACTTCTTTGTTTGGTTTACAGGATTCATAGTAAAAAACACTATCATGCTTTATTGCTCCAATAATTGGGTTATAGCTGTATTGACAATAATAACCCTTCTTGCCTCGATAGCCTAGCTGATAATGGTATGTGGGGTTAGGTATATGGGTCAGCATTCAAATCTTACAGAAGAGCAGGATTTATATTAACTACAGACCAAATGTCTCCATGGATGTTTTGGTACAGGATCAAATATCAGGGGCGTTTTGGTGTGGATCAAATGTCTCTGTGCATGTTTTATGCAGGACCAAATGTCCTACAAGCATCTACAAAGTGCCAGGTCCTATGCTGGACACTGGGGTTTCTGAGATGAATGGGAAACAACTTCTCCCAGCAGAGGTCTCACAGTCGGTTGTGTTCATGTGCACTTCCTGCTGCTCCCTATCTTCTCCCCAGTTCAGGCCCGGGTAAGGCCATACCTAGCTGTTCCCAACTGTTTGGACTCCAGCCAGAGGTTCTCCTGAAGGTGCATAGGACAACCACATCTGGTGGGCCTAGGGCCGTGCAGGTGATTTGTGTAAATGATAAGATAACAAATTTTGCTGCCAGATTGCCCTCTGGGAGCCCAGTTCTGATCCTGCCATACTTCTATTTCAACATCTTCCTGGATCCTCCCTGCCTGAGGGATAACTCCTCCAGGTAATCCCCAGACTTCACAGATTCCTCATGCTACAGCCAACCTGCACTTCTTGCTTGCCAAGTTCCAAACCTGAGGATTCGCCATGCCTCCCTGTGTGGGTTCACTGTTCTCTCAGCTGGATTGTGCTTCCTCCCTCTCCTAAGCTTTTAAAATCTTATTCTTCCAGCCTCAGCTTAAATGAGTGTCTCTCCGCTTCTCCAACTCCCGCAAACCTGAATTTGGTCCTCTGTAAATGGGATTATAGTATTCACCAGGCCAGCACCCAGGAGCCAGTAACCTGCTGTGGAGTACTGCCTGGGTTCAGTGGCTAATGGGAGGTCCCTACTAAAGTGAGGGTGCAATAGGAGTGCTGACCCATGAGAGATGTGTTTGGGAGCCAGCTGGGTAAGGAAGGAAATGCTTTCCTCCCTCAGCTTACCCAGAGTTGGCTGCCCTGCACCTACCCCTGCTAAGCCCCTTGGGCACCTCATTTACCTTGGCATTATATACCTTGGCGTTTACTCTGTGCTCTTCAATATTTCTTTGAGTCTCATGTAGGGTGACCAACTGTCTTGATTTTCCCATGACTGTCCTGAGTTTAGCACCGAAACTCCCAAATCCTGGGAAAACTCTTGGTCCCAGACAAACCGAGAGGGTTAGTCACCCTGAGGCCCACTCAGAAGAGTGAGTGCTGGAGACCACAGATCCTGGACTGGCACTAAGTGCTGTGCCCTGCTAGGCCTTACACCTGTATGTTCTCACAGCCTTCCTTCAGGAGGTTTTCCAGTTGTCATTCTACAGCAGAGGACACTAAGGCTCTCAGAAGTGAAAGTACTTTCTCCAGGTCTCACAGGTAGGAGGCCCCAGGGTCAAACCTATGTGGATCCTGCCCACATCAGGTGTCTCCGCCACACCTCATTGCCACCAGGAATAATCCTTTCATTCAGGTAGTCATCAGTCCGGTAGTCATAATATCTGCTTTCTTGTTATCTTTGCAAATAGTTCTTTGGGGCACGATGTTGCTTTAGACCCTCCAAAGGTTATTTTGCCTTGTTTTAATATTCCAAAGAGTTGGGGCATGAGACCTTCAAGGCAGTTCCTCTGGCATGGCAGCTCCAGCTCCATTTTAAAGTGGCTCCGTTTATGTTATTTTTTTATATTAGCATCTCAGAAACTTGGGCTTGTTATTTTTGTTTTTCAGTTTTGCTATTTCTTGGGCCAGAGTAACTGAAAGGCTTAAATGAAGGTCCCTAAGGCTATTAAAAGGGCTGGTAGTCTCCTTTGATCAACATGGTTAACACAGGATGTATATGAAATACACAGAAGTGATGATATAGACTTGTCATTACTAAATATGGTTCTCTGGATCCTACAGTAATCACTTTTCCAACTGCTCATATTCAAAGTCAGATAAATCAAAAAATATAGATGGATAAATGATAGCTAGTCAGTCACCAAGTAGAGTGGGAAAAACACAGTTTTTATATCAGACAGAACTGCATTCAGATCTCACCTTTGCCATTTCCTAGCTATGTGGGCATGTAGCTGACTCATGTAAAAAAATAAGAGATAAGTATTGTAAAGTACATAATACGTATATAACTTGACTAAATTATAGTTCTTATATGTTTGTTAGCTTTTAGATGTGCCTAATTTTTTCAAACCACCCAAGCAGCAATAGTTCTATCAGGAATGGCTCCTTCTTGCTTCTATAAATATTTGGTTATTCACTTATTCATTTACTCAACAAACATTTATTGACCAATCACTCTGTCAGGCATGATCCTGGGTACAGGGGACACAGAGATGAAAAAAATACAAAATTCCTGCATTCCACAGGCTGACCCGGAATTTGATCTCTATTTTCTTCTTGAGATAAAGAGAGAAAGCAAATGCAGCAAAATGTTAGTAATTGGTGAATCTAGGAGAAGTTATATAGATATTATTTATACTTGTTTTTCAACCTTCCTGTGAGTTTAACTTTTTTTAAAATCCAGAGTTGGGGAGAAAATATATATCTGTTACTTGGTAGCTATAACTCTTGAAAGCCATTATTACTTCCCAACTTTTCAGCATGGAATTTATCAGATTATCTCCAGTCACCTTGCCATGTTTTAGGAGAACAGCACAAATGGGAAATGCTAGGAACAGGAGAAGACAATGAGAAAAGCTTGGGAAAATAACAGGTGTGGTTACCTGGAGCCACATAGCAAGGACCCTGGGGTGACTGGGCACCCAAAGAGTGAGAGAGAGAACCAGGATGTGGAGGTGGAAACCAAAGGATGGGCTCTAAGCCTGAACCCTGCCCTGTACATTCTCTGGTCTCCAGCCAGCCCTGACCATTCCTCTCAGTGTGGGGGTATTTGTTACATTCTGTGCTGTCCACTGACAACTGACCTTTGATCTGAGCATAGAGGTTAGGTAACTGAGCTTTAGAATTGGCAGGCCTTGTGTGTATCTCAGCCTTGCAGAGTGAATTTAGACAAGCTAGTTAGTCCTGTGGAGGCTGAGATTTCTTATATGTAAATCTCAATAGAATCACAATGGGTTGTGTGAGGCTAATGAGATGATGTGTGTAAAGCGGTTAGCACGGGGCCTATGCCTGGTACCTATGAATATGTGTATAACAATATATGTGTAACCTTAGCCAGTGGCACTACTCATCTACTCATTTCATGCAGAAATCTCTGCTTAATGTCTCTTTGCCTCACCTACTCCCACATCTAGTCCATCAGTATGTTCTGTCCTTCTTACTTCCAAATTCATATCCTAAATCAGACTGCTTTTCACTCTCCAAGGTTACATCTCCATCTCTTAACCAGTCTGCTACAGCAGCCACCTGACTGCTCTTCCTGCTTCCACTCTAGTCCCCTCACCCCTGGAACAATCTCCACAGCAGACATTCTCAAGCTTAATGGAGAATGTTACCTTCCCGTTTGATTCTCCTATGAATTCACATCACCCTTGAGGAAAACCTTACCTCTGACCCTCACGTCACAACCCGGGTCCTTCCCACTCTCCAACCTTGTCTCCTAAATTCTGCCCACAGATCACTGCATTCTGGCATACTGGCCTCCTTTCTGTCCCTCAAACACCAGTGCTCACAGTCTTTATAGTTATTCCTTCTTCCTGAAATGCTCTTCCCACATGTCTTCACCTGGCTGCCTCCCCTTCCCCGTCCTTTAGGTCTCAGTCAAATGTCATTTCCTCAGCGAGGTGCTCCCTGACCATCCTATCTAGTGGTGTGTACCACCTCCACCCCCGCCATCACTAGTGCCCTGTTTCATTACCCTTAAAGTACTTGTCATTATTCAAGATGATCTTGTGGTCTGTCATACAGAAAGGAAGCTCCAGGGAACAGTAAACAGTAACTTTGTCTTGTTCACTGTCTTAGCTCTGGCTGCCATAACAAAATACCACAGGCTCGGGGTGCTTAAGCAACAGAAATTTATTTTCTCATAGTTCTGGAGACTGGAAAGTCCAAGATCAAGGTGCTGGCAGGGTCAGTTTCTGGTGGGAACTCCCTTCCCGGCTTACAGGCAGCCGCCTCCTTGCTGAGTTTTCACATGGCATTTCCTCTATCTGGGTCCATGGAGAGAGAGAGAGCACGAGATCTCTGGTGTTTCCTCTATAAAGACCTTAATCCTATTGGATCGGGGCCCTATCCTTGGGACCTCATTTAACCTTCATTACTTCCTTTGAGGCCCCAATTCCCAATACACCCGCACTGGTGGTTAGCGCTTCAATATAGGAATTGGGGCGGGGTAGGGGGCGGGTATAATGGTTCTGTCCATAACATTCATCATTGTAGCATCAGCACCAGAACCTAGAAGAGAGCCTGTCATATAATAAACAATCAATGAATTATAGAAGTTTATGTCACCATATTAAGTTCATATAAGTTGCCCCACATCTGGCACTCCATCCTGCAGGTCAGAGCATGTCACTGTACATTCCCCAGTCCACCATCAATGCCACGGCCGGAGAAGACATCCTGCTCTCGGTGGACTACTCCTGTCATGGTGTCCCCACCATCGAATGGAAGTATACATCCAACTGGGGAGTGCAGAAGATTGTGCAGTGGAAGCCAGGGACTCAGGCCAACGTCTCCCAAAGCCACAAGGACAGAGTCTGCACCTTTGACAACGGCTCCATCCAGCTCTTCAGTGTGGGTGTGAGGGATTCGGGCTACTACGTCATCACGGTGACAGAACACCTGGGGAGCAGCCAGTTTGGCACCATTGTGCTGCATGTGTCAGGTAAGACAACCCCAGGGGCCCAGTGCCCCACTGACCGCAAGTGCGTGGGAGGCTGACTTCATAATATTAACAGACTTATCTTCCCCTTCCCGCACTGTACAGAGATCCTCTATGAAGACCTCCACTTCGTTGCTGTCTTCTTGGCTTTTCTTGCTGCTGTGGCTGCAGTGTTAATTAGCCTCATGTGGGTTTGTAATAAGTGTGCGTATAAATTTCAGAGGAAGAGAAGACACAAGCTCAAAGGTAATTTTCTGGGCCCTGTGATAATCAATTCGTGTTTTCATGGCCTGAGATGGAACATGTTATCTTGTCACCAAAAAACCACCTTGTGGCTGATCTGCAACTCATTGACTTATCATTTGCTTTGCAGAGAGCACAACTGAGGAGATTGAGTTGCAAGATGTTGAGTGTTAGCCAAGACTGAGCCCAATTACATTCCTACCTCAAGAGAAAAATATTTTCCAATGAAAGGAACAAACACACCAATCCATTTTAAGAGCCTCTGGTTGCCCTGCTACAGCCACCTATTCCTGATGGGACTGCCACGTGTTAACAAAGTTGGCTGCATGGACTTGAGGACTCTGGATTGGACAAAGTCAGTTCTGTATCTACATGAAGTTCAAGGAGAAGAGTGCTTGAGGCTTTGAGCCAGAGCTTGGCTTGGCTGCAGTTGTCAGAGCCATGCTAACCCATAACCGACGGTGCCAGGCCGGCACTGGCTGCTTGCTCACTGCGCTCTGCTCGGCCTGGGGGATGGCCATTGGAGGAGTCCCGGATCAGATGCTAGAGCATCTCCAGACTGAGTGTGCAGCTCTTTGTGCACCTGTCTGCTTGTGCCCTCCAACTCTCTGCTGTGGGAGCTATTGAGAAAACATGAGGCTTTTAGATAGTCTGCTGCCTAAGAAGCAGACATAAGAGACGAGAGGTGTGCTATTGTGCCATAGTAAGTTGCCCAGAGCAGGGCGAGGACCTCCCCATGGCCTGGAACTTTAGGGAGAAGAGCTTAATTTGTTGAGGGACTAGCACTGGGAGCAAGGAATAGGGGGCAAAATAACCTTTCTCTTCCTCTCTTAGGCCAACATTACTTGGATTTTCCTTCTTGTGGCCCGAACTTCAGTCAGTGTGAGGAAAACAGCTGTTCTCCTCCACCATGGGCAGCATCTGGCCTCCAGATGGCCTCCTGACAAGCTGTGTGAAAGATGGGCCTGCATAATAGGTGGTACAATTGGAAAGTCACTCAGCTCAGAGTTTGAATCTGTCCCTCACAGTCACTAACACTTCATGTCTCAAGTCAGGCCCTTGTTCTCTCCCGAGTGGGCAAAGGAACACTTGGCACTCACCTACCTCACAGTCAGGGTATCAAGTGAAGTCCACAGTATGCATGGAGCTCTCCAAGTAATTTAAGACCAGCCTGAGGAAACTTTAAGGACCTAGAAAGCAATCATCACCATACTGAGCACTGGAACTTGATAAAATGCCCTGGGATATTGGGCTCCAGGTGAAATTAGGGCCTGGATCACAGCTGGCCCTTATTCTCTCAGGTGTTGGTTACCATGATTACCTGAAAGTTTCTCCATCTGGTGAGCTGTAAAGCAGGCCTGTATTTATTTTCCATGATCTTTTCTCTCTTAATATTCTTAGCTACAGACTGAGGTACCATCCCAATTATTGGTAGAGGCTGAGATTATTAGCTCTGTCCCTAGCCCTCAGCTGCAAATTCATCCATGTAAAGGAGAAAGAGAGCTAGAACAACCCCATTCTTCCTTCCCTCCCTTCAAATCCCCAAGGTCCATGTCTTTTCTTCTTCCCCTGTGGCAGATAAGGAGTTGCCTGGAGTAGTATGAGGCCTTCCCCTGACTACTGAATCCAGGGATGCAGGAAGTGATCTCTTGGAGTATTCAGACGGGAGATCTCAGTGATGTAGAGAAGGGCTCTGAAGGTACCACTTGACTCAAAAGGAAAGAGGGTAATCAGTCTACACAACTGATTTGTAGCTCTTGCACCTGATACGTAGAAGTTCTCACCTCAGGCCACTTCCTGTACACATGCGTGTAAACATGCACATCTGTGCCCTTTACCCAGGCAGCAGTCAGAGGAGCCGGGCCTGTACTCGGGCAGGTCCTTATAGGGGTCTCCAGTGCCCTGAACAGCAGGAAGCCGGTTTGGATCTGGTAGCTGCTGGAATCTCCATGTGCTTCTTTATTCTACCTGCTTTTCAGAACTCTACCCCTCTCAGCTTGTCAGAAGTCAGAGGTGAAAATCTTCATAATTAAAGGAGAGACGGAAATGAATAGCCAGTGAGAGGCCTCCATGGGCAAACCCAGATGTAAATTCTACCCCCTCAAATTTCATGAAAGGTTATACCCTCAGCTTTTTCCATTTCTTTATTTTGCACTTTTAAAGCTCTCTCCATCCCGAACATTCCCATGTAAAGTTTTTGATTCCAGAGCCTGAGGTTTTTGTCTATTTTTCAAATAAGAAAATATGAAATCATAGAAGTTAGCCACTGTAAATGTTAAGCTATAAGTTATTGTTTGAAACTATGAAAAAAGTTGTTTTAAAAAATGAAATAAAACCTGAAAATAAAGCCCTGGTCCTCTGTGTGTGAGCCCACTCCAGCTGAGCGCGCCTGAGCCCTGGAGGGGGTCCCATCAGCTGTAGGCAGAAGCAAAACCCTTAGCCACAGTACTGAGGCCGGCACATTTTTAAAAATGACACTACAGTGAATCACGTTGGCTCTAACATTCTTTAGCAATTCAGAAAAACAACACTTTGTTATCATCATTCTCCCCTCTATTGAGCCTGAGGATGAATTTGCAATTTTTGCTTTCAGAATATGAATAGTAACTCAACAGAGTCCTTTCTGCTTCAGTCCTTTCAGCTGAACTGAGGATATGACAATCGTCCTACCTCGTTCATAGGTGCAAGACACTCGACAGAACACACAGCTTTGTCAACAGAATATCCTCTCACAGATTGTAATCTATGAAACCAAAAGGAGACTGATAACAAAATTCAAGTTAAATTTGAAGCTCTAATTGGCATTATTAAACGATTCATGAATCAGGCACCATCCCATCTGGCAGCTGGAGGGGTTCTCAGAGGGCTTATACAAAATGGAAGGTTTTTATTTCAGGCAAGGTCACCCTTCCTAGGGAAAGGCAGGGGGGTTTTATCAGGGAGGTGACCTCACTAGTGCTGACCAGGAAATTCCAGACTGATTGGTTTAAAATTTCACTCCTGGGAGAGGCTGAAACTGCAGTTTGGTTAGTTATTCAGTTTTGGACTTAGCAAAAATGACTCTATTTCGGGTTTGTTCTTTTTAATAGCATATAATTAATCCTTGAACAACACAGGTTTAAAACCTGTGTGTAAGTGGCCCTGTGCCATTTAAACCCATGTTGTTCAAGAGTCAGCTGTATTTTCTACCCACAGCTGGGAATCCATGTATGTGGAGGGTTGACTGTAGTTATACTCAAATTTTCGACCGTAAAGCAGGTTGGCATCCCTGACCCCCAAAGTGTTCAAGGGTCAACTGTATATCATTCTTTCTCATTTTGTGATGTTCTGGGTATGCAAGGGGAGCTGAAATAGAAAATCCCTGTCCTCTGAAACCCACATGAGATGGTTAATATCGGACAGTACCTCATACTCTGATTTGAAGTCATACCACACAAAAGTGAGGAGCAAAGGCAGTGAGAGATAAAGTTTATCAGGATATCTTGCTCAGTGAGGAATGCAGAGACAAGCCCTGAGGAAGCATACAATTCAGAAGGGCTGGGCAACTGTAACGCTGATTGACAAAAGGCGGCAGAATAGCATGCTAGGAGCTGTAACCAAGAGCAAGGAACCAAATATGATGGGGTAAACCCCCAGGGCTGTGATTCAAATGCAGTCTCCTTGACAACCCTAGCGGAGGAAATCGGGGAAAGTGAAACCCTCTGTCATCAGCTTTTATATCTAGTATAGTTTTCTTCTGCTCAGTTTCCAGGGACATATCTCTAGTTTATTGAAAGCAGAGCAAATCCATGTGGTTAGCATGTCTATCCACAACTCAACTTCCACTAAATGGTGTGAGTTGCCAGTATGTGAACCTCTGCACAACCAAACCAACCCAGCTGTCAGCATTTCAATCCTTGAGAACACGGTTCACTATTTCTAGTGCCTTTTAAAAATTAGGTCGGTGTTTTGGGTTTGGTTTAATTACAAAGGTAAACCCTTCCTTAAAACAACACTAAAATCTATATATAAACAGTACAAGTTCTCCTTCATTCAATCGTCCCCAGAGAGAATAATAGTTAATTTTGGTATGTATCCTTCTAGACTTATGTATATACCAACAAATCTGTCTATATAAACATTCATCACGCTATACATGTTAAATCTTTCTTTTTAGGCAAATGGTATTCTATTAAACAGTATTCTACAATTTGTTTTCCCTTAATGTTTCTTGGGCATTATTTCATGTCTCTACCTATTCTTAAATGTCCTTATTGCCTGCACAATGCAATCCATAGTATGGACATTTTATAATAGCTTGTTCACTGAAAAATTACTTTTTATTTCAAATGATATATACAGAAATATCTTGGGCTATCTATTAGACTTGTTGCTTCAACCAAGATGGCTTCCTCATTAATGTGTTCAACTCCTATGAATCTCTTCCTCTGTCAGGGAATTCAGAGTCACTGTTTTATAATATTGGTGGGTTTATATAAAGTTTATCAGAGATTGAATGTTTAGGGGAGGGAGAAAAAGCATTGCTAATGTAAAATAAGTCTTTGATTTTATAAAGTGTGTACACAGGTAGGTTAAATTCCTTTAATGCAATTGACCAGTGGTTGTTCGGCCATTCAGTCCCTAAAAGTGCAAGAAGTATTGTTCCCTCAGGTACCTCATAGTTTGAAAGTTGAAAGAATTTTTTCTTACTAAGCAAAGTGCACTTAGCAAATAATTCAGTGTCCTGTTTTTATCAATAACACGTAAGTGCCAATTAGAATTCCTAGTCAACATGAAATAATCAGGGGTATCACTTTGATTTGATGGCGTTCTGGCAAGGAAATCTGATGGTGACGTTCTAGACTATAAACATGATTTCCATTAGGCCTTTTCAAATACCACATCTATTACTGCCCCATTGGGTCCCAAGGGGCTCAGATTGGGAGTACTTGTAAACGAAGTTAAGAGAAGCCATGATTTGGGTGAAAGGAGATTCTGCCACTGGCCTCATTTCCTTGGTAAACTCACAAAATTATCAGGATTTTATAAGACTGTATGTTACTTTTATATCTTACACTTCTCCCTTGTCTATCAAGTTTCAAGTAGTAGTCTGCTCTACAACAAACGTTTCATGATCAGTAAATGGGGAAACGAATACGCTGTAATGTGGAAGTTTTTCTGGTTCCTAAGCAAGGGGAGCCAGAATATCAGGAGTAGACAAACTCCTCAGCCATTTGAGCTCAACTTTTAGAGAAGTAAACATGAGCACCTGCATCTAGAGCTCCTCTAATTTATTCATTTTCTTATTGAAGAGCATTTAGATTAAACTAAACTTTTCACTTTTACAGACCTCCTCTGTAATCCTTACTGATCTTTGTGAATCTGTGCTTTGTGAAATATGTGTATAGGATACATTCTAGCAGTAGACTAGCAGATAGGAAACAGCAAACTGTAGAACCAAGTCTAGGCTCGGGTGACTGGCTTTGGAGTAGCACTTGCATTTGGTGCTGTGTCAAAGAGATAGGTAGGGTTGCTCCGTTGTGAACTGCCTATTATATCAGTAAGTAGGATGGGAAATAGTTTCCATCCTAAAGTGAGATTCAAAGAGACTTTAGTCCCAAGTATGTAAGGCATCAACGAAGACCAGGAGTAGGGAAGTGGAAGTGAACAAATTAAAGGCAGAGAGTATGGAAAGAAGTCCACCACAGATCATGGCTTTAAAAATGACCTGGAAAAAATCAGAATCTTCATACTCACAAATACACTGTCTTTACCATCTATAAATCTAAACAACCCAGGACATTCTGAAATACTTTCTTCTAATGATAAATAAAAATAAAGCTGGTGTCTTAACTGTTTTTCCAACTTCTAGTTGACTTTCAGGTAACAGTTGCTTAATGCTTTAGTTGTAGAGCACTTTAAAACTTAATATCCATTACCAACCATGCTGAAACCTTTGAACCACCCCTGAGGGTTTCAGAAGCATCCCTGTTCCCATTTTATACATAAGAAAACAGGTACAGAGAGGGTATCTTGCCAAGCTGACACAGCTACACAGTAGCAGAGCCAACATTCCCATACAGCTCTTTTGCCAACCTGTTTAATACTTGGTGAGGGACTAATTGGTTCCTCCAAACTGTCTCCCAGGTTTCAAAGCACATTCTGGTTTTTTTGGGTTGAAACATTAAGCTGAAAAATGTAAACAAAAGGCACAAGAGTTGCTGCACAGCAACTAAGTTGCCATTTTCCCCCATATTTGCTTTAATTTCCACATGTGAGCAGAACTGTACAGATGAGCCTAGTAAAATTAGCTAAGGCAACTTTTGTGGGTCACCATAACTTTTGAAGCACTAAAAACTTTTAAAATAATAGCACATTCATACCAATTCTTTCAATTTCCACGAGTAGAATGATGCAGCACCTTGATCAGAGGAGGTAAACAAAAACACAAAGCTGTCATGGTATTTTATGGCTTACAAGCTCTATTTTACTTTTTAAAGAAAAAAAGGTAGAGAAATACAAAGGACTTTTAAGTTTCTTAAGTGATGTTATAAATTATCAAAAGGGTATCATTTAAAAATCGAAAGCTTTACTCATAAGGCAACTACCACCTATATATTATTTATAGTGGCACCAAAAGGCCCATAAGTCTAAATCTCTTCTTAAGGGAAGTCCCTCTGCCATTTTAGGTTTGGGGCACTACTTTTAAGAAATGCAAACATGTCATTTATAAAATGCAATCTACTAATCCATTACTATTTTCTCTTTTAAAAAGCAGAGAGCTGACAGAATGAGACAGGACAAGACTTTAATGGCAAGAAGCATGTCCGGGCCTCTGGGTGGAGGCTGGAGAATCTCAAAGGTAGGGCGAGGCAAGAGCATGCACTAAGTATCATAGGGGAGTGAGGTCATTCAAGTGGGAGAACAGACCAAAAAGGGCCCTGAGGAAGCCCCGAAGATACAATCTGCCGCCTTTTTCATCTTCAGCTGGAGCTTTCTGAGGAAGTTCTCAAAGTACCTGTTTAGGTTAGACCCAGGCAGGCATAAAGAAGACAGTGGGAGGAAGAGGTATTTTATTTATTTAGAAGACAAGAGCACATGCTCATATTTTGATAAGGAAGGGAGGGAGGGCTCCTTTGGTTGGCATGTCCTTTGTTACACTTCAGGGTAAGGGTCTGCTCTCTCAGTGTGAGTGAATTCCCGTATGAAAGCTGGGTCAGAAGAGTTTGAATATTCTTAAGCAATCTTTTTCAACAAATTGTGGACTGAGACAAGTCGATTATAGACACAATTCATTGTTAAGAGTTCAGAAAGTATCTGGAATTGGTAACCATATATTTTGCTTGATGCCCACATCAAAGGACTTTTAAAAAGCAAATTCAAACCCAAAAGTTAGTAACATTTTAAGTTAACTGCATAAAAAAGGTATTATTTTACATTTCCCCATACTGTATGCCCTATAACTGTACATAAATTTCTGCATTTCAAAGCACCTGTCACTTATAAAGTGAAGGTTCCAAAATGCTAGGTGTTTGCTAATTAATGTTTTTAAAAAAACAATACTCCTTTGGAAGATTTCTCCTTTTGCTTATAGTTGATCTGCAAACACCTCAAGTCAAAGTTTCTGGAAAAAAATCCGGATACTGTTCTAGAAAAAAATTATAGTAAACAAGGGCTAAGTGCAGACATAAGCAGCTCCATTTTATAAACAAAGTTTCGACCTTCCATTTTACTCCACTGAACTTCCTTGAATGGTCCACGAAGATGATTCCATTTGCTATCTTGTAAAACATCACTTTTTGGAAGGTCTTTACACTGGTTACGAGGAAACTGAACCATAATCTTGCTGCCACTTTCAGGGCCATTACGAACTGTGGAGCAGAACCAAAACATCAATACACTTATTTTCCAAACTCGAAAACAAGAGCAGACCCCGTAACTTCATTTTCCCAAATTACAAAAAAAAAAAAAATGCCTTATCTGTCTACCAACTTGAAAGTTCTGTTTAAAAGTGCTTTTCAGTTTCAATATGCTAGAAACTAATTTACTAATTTATAGTAGGCGGGTATAAATATTTATGAATTACTTGTACTATAAAAGTGTGGAAAGATGAATTTTGGCTTAGGAAAGTCAAATGTCCCATGTATTTTCAGAAAATCAAAAATTTGTTTTTTCTAAAACTTTATTTAATAATTCAATCATCCAATGAGTTAATATACACCCAACATACATGAAACTCAAACGTTCAGAATCAGGACAGGGAGGGTACACGAAAGACTTCCGAATTAAGAACTTCAGGTTTTAATGAGGCTTTAACTATTACTCAGGGAAGAACGGTATTCTGAAATTCATTTCAGTAAAGATCTAGCAATACCAAGCTTGCAGATTCACAAGCTATTATCCTGTGGAAAAATTTCTAATTACCCACTCTTTCAAATACTTAGAGCCGGTACTAGAAAAGATCACTCTAAAAACCATCTTTAGGATCAGGTACCATTCTTCCCATATTTGCAGCAGTACATTTTTTAAAAAGCTTTTGTCCATTAAAGGTTTCAAGCTGCAGGAGTAACAGTGCTTATGGCAGTGTTCAGATGCTCTCCTAGGAAAATGTACTGCCAAGCAAAACATTTTTTATAACTACTAGAAAGAAAGTAATCTCTTGCCCTGAATAACAGCTACGATCAGATAAATGCGCAGTACAACCACTCCATGAACTCGCTTATTGCAGAGATAAATTACTCTTAAGTATATGTAACTATTAAAACTAATGTTAAAGCCAAAGAAGCAAAGGTACCTGAAATAGCATAGTCACCACTTGGGGAGGCCACCGTTATAGCGGAGGCATTGCCGATGCTCTCTATAGGCCCAAGTCCCACGTGATTACTGAAGCTCAGTACCTGCCAGCCCATAACCTTCGCCAGCTGCTGAACTGCATGCACCTGATGCTGTGACATCTGCGAATGAAAAAGGAAACTTTACTGACAATCAGCATAGATATTTATTTTGCAGCGACCTGACATTATGATAGTAAACTTTTGGTGGGTTTTTACTGCCTAATGCAGGAACTCTATCTTACATATAAGGAATCCTCCTCTGTGTGACTATTGCGGGGAGAGAGCAGGACCCCAACTTCCACTTGCAGAAGCCAAAATAGTCTGATACTTGCTTTCCCTGTCTACTGGCAGCTTGAGCACAGGCTCGTGACTTAAACTTGGTCAACTGGAGAGTTCCACCTGGCTCACTAAATGTGGTGCAACATTCAAAGTAGCGGGGCATGCTGAATATCTTCCATTTACCCCTTCAAATCTGCCCTCCACCCTACTCTGCCCTGGGAGCCTGACCCAGGTTACATTAACAGCTTTCTATATCCTCTGGGTACAGGCTGGGTTCAGATAATGGGAGCCATCCAAGTAATGGGAGCCGGCAGAAGGGCAAGGAAGAGAGTGCAGTCAAGGTATTTATTCTGCTGGTAAATTTTATTTACTTGGCACCAAAGAAATGGGTCAGTGTAAAAGATTGTTGCTTCTAGAATGGAGAATGTCAATATTTAATTTTTTTGTAAAAACATACTATCTTTCATTAGCATCTCAAAACCTACCCTTTCTCCCAAAAGTCAGTTATCTCACTGGATCATCACAACTCCATGAAGAAAGTAGGAAAAATACTGTTGTTAATATATGTTTAAGGAAAAAAAGTCCAGAAATTTGTCCAGTGTCACAAAGTAAGTTTGTAGTGGAGCTGGGACTAGAACTCAGTACTTTCCACATTGCCCCTTAATATGAGGAACTCTTTCATAGTACTTAAGATTAAAATATTCCATTTATTATTACAGATAATAATAGTTTTGTACCTAAAACTATAGTTTTGTACCTAATCTCCCTTTCTCTGGTTTTCTTGGGTTAATACTTCTCCACTATCATGTGGTCCTGGACTGGTTGTAAACCTTGGCAAACATGAGAAATAAAAAGTCTGCTAGTCTCACAAATGGTTCTTTATCTTAAACACAAACTAAGTGGAAACAAATCTAGGACAGTTTACCAACACTTTCAACTAACCAACAGGTTGTAAGATTGCACTAGGAATTAAATAAGATGGCAGGGAAAAATGGTTTTCTTTTTATAATTTACTGAACTTTTTATGAGAGGAAGGGGCTCCAGACTTGTAGTCTGCAACTATTACCTGAGACAGGAGGAAATCCTGTAGCTCCTGCTCCTGATGAGACAGCATAATTACTCTTCCATCTCTGTGTACAACTCGGATCTGCTCAACTCCAATATTCAACTGCAACTGAATGGACCTTTATAGACACATATACTAAAAATGAGAGATGTTCCAAATTACCTAATACAAAGCCATAAACATTAAACCTTAACATCAAAGGAAAAATAACAGACAATTTTGATAACCTACACCAACACCATGGGGTGGAGGATTTTCTTAGGTTCAACTAAACCATCAGATTCATGCCAGACTACCACAGGTCACAATGAGCACCAGTCCACTCAGAAGGATGTAAGAGAGGAACCATAGCTTGCCAGCTAGCCACCATCAGCTGTTCTTCCTTTATGGTAGTCCTTGCAGCAGGACACCTGGTTGCTGAGATGAGCTCTACACCTGGGTATGTGAGAGACCTGCCCTGACTGAGATACCTCATTCCCCACAGGATGAGGGGCTGCATGCTCTGGTAACAACTCCACAGGCATGATTTCCAGGGTCCCCACAAGAGGCACTGCCCAGTTTTAGAAGTCACCCCATCCATGAAAATTCAAAGGCATCCCCATCAGGTATTTATAATTCCTCTCAGTCCAGGTCCATTTTACTAATTTGGGATCATTTCTGCCATAACCAAAGTTGCCTAGTAATACAGACAGCATCTTTTCTTACCAAGTCACTAGGGGATTAGAGCTAGAGAACTAACTAAAGGTCACATTCTCATACAGAAAGGCAAAAGGTTTAGTTAACTCTTCACCTTCTCCTGAAGTTATCAGCAAACAAGTCAGATTATGAACACACTATTAATTTGGCTAAGGTGAATCAAAGATACTCATAAAGTAGCCAATGAATAACATGAATAATAAGATCACAACACTTTCCCAAGCCAATGTACAAACTTTTAGCATATGAAATGTATAAGAAACACTAGATTCCCCAGGTCAAATAAGCGAGATGAACAAATGCAGAAAAAATAGCATTATTATCTTTTCACATTTGACAGTACTTCTTTTTCTAACTTTATTTTACAGTAAATATTTAGGTATAAAACATCTTGGCAATTGTCTACATAAAACTTTAATTTTGATTAATTAAAGTTTATTTCTTTCAAAGAAAAACACAAAATTCAGAAGGCTTAAAGAAAAAGACTTGTAAATCTAACCAAATTCTTTAAATTCTTTTTTTAAACAAGGGTGTGAGGGAAGAGGAATTCTTATTATTATTGGTAGGAGTCTACTTGCAGCAACCACTTTGAAAAGCAATTTGGTAACATTAATCAAAATTGTAAACGCCCTCATCTTTTGACGCAGCAATTACACTTGCAGACTTTTCCTATAGATATACATGCACATGTATAAGTTATTTTGCTGGCATAAAACTAAAGTATTCATCAATAGAAGGCTAATTAAAAGTTTGGTACATACAATGGAACACAATAAAACTGTGAAAAAGATGGAAGTCGATCTGTATGTGCTGATAAGGAATGCTTATTCATCCAACATAATACTAATGAGTTAAAAAAAAAAAGGCACACTAATTGGGAATGACTGCTAATAGCTATAGGGTTTCTTTTTGGGGTGATAGAAATGTTCTGGAATTAGATAGTGATGATAGATACAGAATATGGGGAATATACTAAAAGCCACTGAATTGTGTTCTTTAATATGGTGAATTTTATGTTATGTGAATTACCGCTCCATTTTTAAAAAGCATTTAATACTGTGTAAAACAGGCAGGGATAGTTAGATTGTATATGCTTGTAAATTCATAGACTTTCCTAAAGGATGTATAAGACACTGCTTTAAATACTTGCTTCTGGGGAGTTCTAAGAAAGAGAATTACTTTCAATTTTAAATGGCATAAGATGGCCCCAGCTATAAAAGATGAGAAAAAGGGCATTCTACTACTTCCTTCTACTTCCTCTCCACTCTCCTGATTCTGTCAAGGCTGCATTATCACTAACCCTTTTTTACAGATGGTTAGAACGTTTACACTGGGTCGTGTAACCATTACCCCAAGTTGTTTGGTCTTATTTCTAGAGTTAAACAATTCAATGCTAATAATTTTTTCTTTTCCTCTCCTTGTGTTCACTCTCTCAACATTTTATTATGGAAAATTTTAAACACAAATAAAAGTATAATATAATTTAATGAAAACCAATGGCTCCATCACCCAGCATTAATAGCCAAAAATGCACATCGAACTCATTTCATCTATATTTAACACTTACTCTCCCACCCCACCCCAATTATTTAACTCATTATTAACTTTAATTAATCAAAATTACATTTTATGTAGACAATTTTCAGGTGTAGAAAAAAACCATGACCCAGTTTCACTGCACTATCTTTTCCTAGAAGTTTCAAGACTGATTTCCCTTTCATTATGTACTCTTATCTTCGATGCTTATCTTTTAAATCATGCTCATCTACGTTTCATTTTTTAAAAATAGTGAATTAAAAAACTTCATGCTAAAAAACAGCATTATAAATATATTATACTCCCCTACTCCTGAAGGTGGTAGATTTGTTTCATGGTGTGCTTTGCTCACTGTGTCTATTCAGGTCTAAGGAGGTTTGGTAGCTTTCTGCTCAATGTTGAAGTTCGTTTTTACCATAGCTCAAAAATGTGACATTTACCTAATAGAGACTATTTTAGACATCTTACCTCTCATTCTTACAAACACTCTATGGTTGATACAATTTACTGGAATGTTATGCCACTCTAGCAAATAAAAACCCAAATCTTGATATGATCACTCAGCAAATATCAATACATAAAAAGCAACTTAACATATTAAATAACTTATTTTTGACACTTACTTGCATATTTGTTCATAACCTTGTGATGTGATTAAAACTTTCACACTAGATTCATAAACATCATTAATATTTGACCAATGAGCCTGTATCTGAGGATCCTCAATGCGACTTGCTAAGCTGTCAATGGTTGCAGCAGTTCTTTTAAAGAAAAGATGATAGAATTTTTTAAGTCGTGTAAGATAATAACATTATAAATCACATCAATTTTATAGAGATCTGAAAACCAGATGACCTTTTTTTGAAAATATCACCAATTGAAAAGCAAAGATTTTAAAGCAAGGTCAGCTGTAGTTATGAGACCCTTTCTCACAGTGCTCTGAGGTGCTGGTTCTCAGCTTCAAGTTACGACACTCATACACAGCCAATTTTCTTTCAACTCCACTTGCTTTCTCCCATTCAGGAAAACTTATCAGAACACAGTGAGAAGACTACTTCCAGGGTAACCTCAGCTCTAAAAAATCATTTGTAAGTAACAATACTTGGTCTCTGGTAACAAATGACTTGGGACGCACCAATACCTGAGAGCCATTACTGCAATGGAATTACAATTATTTTCAAGAGAAGCTAGAGACTTTTTGTACAATTAAAACCTTATACTCCAAGAAAGATAAATATGATAAGTATAAGTGAGAACTAAGATTCATCAAGTGCTAATTATGTACCAAACACTGTAATAAATGCTTTCATGAATTATATAATTTAACCTTACTAACGAGCCTATAAAGTAGGTAATTTTAAGTTCCATTCTTCAGAAGAGAAAAAAGCAGTGTAGCAATGTTAAGTAATTTGCTCAAGGTTACAGAGCTGTGATCCACCATACAAAACCTGGAGATCTAACTCCAGAGCCAGTAATCTTTCTATTGTATCTTATACACTCATCAGTAACTACTGCCTAGAATCAAAGCATAAATCATGTAAGTTAGCCAAACTACTGGAGGTCTTCAGTTTCTTCTAACGATCTGATTCTAGCACTTGACTGGAAAGGAAAGGAAAAGTCAGGAGGAATCAACAGGAAATGAGAATAGCCATTAAGGACAAGGGGCTTTTACATAAACAGGCTTGAGTTTGTTCTTTTACTGTTTCTGCTCTAGTGATGGTTTCTTTCAATCCACTCTTAACTTTCTCTTCCTTTTCTGTGATTTGTTTCCTTGATAGTGCTCCAAAAATTCATACAGCAGATAAATACGTCAGTGTTCACAGCATTACATGTATCAACAAGATGGAAGTAAATAATATCTTGCAACTGAGAAATGGTAAAAGAAATCATGGAAAGTCACAAAATGGGATATATTAAAATATCTTTGCAGGCAGGGTATGAAATTTTATGATCTCAGATTTGTTTTTTAAAAAATATACATAAGCTCTGACACATACATATATCTAAATATATGAACATGTTAATAGATCTTGCTATGTATGGTATTATACAGATGGGGCTGATACATTGGAAGAGTATTTCTATACTTAGGGAAAAAAGGGAACACTTTTAAAGCCTTTCTGCTTTCAAGACTATAACTATTACTCTAAAATTTATAATTGCATAATTTATAAGTTCTAAAGATAACTATTTCCATGGCCCCAATTTATTTCAGGGAATATTTAACTTTATGGTCAATCAGAAATTTGCAAGATTAACAATTAATAGCTTTTATAACTGAAATGTACAAATGAAAAATAACAATAACCTACCATATTTTGTTTGTAAGGAACTTCTGCATACATTATTTAATTTGATAGGAAGAATAGACTCCTATACCCCCAGAGGAATAGATTGAGGGCCATAGATATTAAGTAACTTGCCCAAAGTTACTTAGTAAGTGGTTAAGCCCTGGCTTAAACGTATCTTTTACATGAATTTCTTACTCTTTTCATGCTGTCTTCTCTATCATGTCTTCCTAATTTATTATACTAAAAATGGAAGGTCCTAAGTTTCCATTCTAAGACTACAAACTAATGTGCTAATAAAACCATGATTGCACTAACAAGAAAAAACTGAAAGTCAAAAATGAGATATCTGTTGAGCAGTGTGCCCATGCCTAAAATTCTGAGCACTGTTAAGGCATAATTATGAAAGTAAAAACAGACCTCTTCACTAAATACCAATATCAAAACAGAAGAGCACCATTTGAAAAAGATACATTTAGGACCAATTATGCCAAGTTTGTTTGTAAACAATGTGTACAGAAGAAGAAAATGAGCTCCAGAGTTAGAGACCTGGATAAATCTTGACTTTGTAACTTTTTAGCTGTGTAACCTTGAGCACAATGTCTCTAAGCCTCATCAGTAAAAATGGGTTAGAACTATCTACCTCAAAGAACAAGGATTAAAGAAGTCAAAATACGGGAAAGTGCTTTCCAAAGTCCTAATATATGTAACAACCAAAAAATATAGAAAGCTTCAAAAAAAGATTTTAATCAGTTCAAGAACAAGCATCTCAAAGGATGGGTTACTGAAGAAAATATGGTGGTCTTTAAAAATTTTAGTCCCATGTTAGAAATAATAAGTTACATGGGCCATGGATCTGAGTCTTCCTCAAACGTGACAGAACCATCTATGACCATAAACTCTTACATTGTAGCCACCTTCCCTTCCCTGGAAAAAAAGGTTAAAGCATGCCAAAAATACCATATATGAGATAACTAATAAAGGAAAAAGGACTGCAGTTTCAAAGAAGAAGAGTAACTTTGTTCATCCTTACCTACTCCTAAGAAAAATATGCTTTGCTTGTTTAATTATCTTTTCCAGAAGCCCTTCACTGGACTGTAATGAATTAATTTCATTTTTATCAAAAGCTTGAGGACCTGAAAGTCTCATTCTCTTGTGGCCGAAAGGTGCACTTGCTGGATGAGGCATCATGATGGAACTCAAGGTCTGTTTATGGAACTATAACAAGAACAGCCATTATAAATGACCACCACCCACATATTAAACACCACATAGTGCTCAGTCGAAACCTAGCTCACATCTTGGAAACATGAAAGCAAAGGATCTGAATTACATATAAAGGTAGTCTTGGTACAGAGATAAATGTTAGCATCTAATAGGCCATGCACAATGTGAGTTTGTAAAGTGGGTCCCTCTCAAATTGTGATTTTTTATTTTAAAGGTTTTAAAGTACAAAACCAACACTACTCTTCAGTAAGTCTCACCAACAGAACACATGCAATTAGTAGACAGTTATTCCACTATTCTTTAGTTAGAGGTTCCCAATCTGGCTGCCTAACAGAACCATCTGAGGAACTTTAAAAAATATACTGATCCTTGCACCATCACAAAAGACTGAACCAGATTCTGGGGTGGGACAGGGGAGGCCAGAATATATACTCCTATTAAAAGTTTCTCAGGACCATTCTTTTGAAATTAGCCTAAACTGGAAACACAGTTCTAGATGTATGACCTGTAAGTAGACTATGTTCCGAAATAACTCATATCCTGTTCACAGGCTCTAGCAAGACATTTTCCCTGATAACTCAACCAGAATCACTTCCCTCTGCACCCTTTAGCATGTATTTCTTATACCTCTGAATAAAATTTGTGGTCTATGCTAGGGAACAGGGACTATATTCTGATCTCTATTTCCTGAGCATACAGCAAGGATCTTTCACATCACAGACAGTGAATGTCACTGCAATGTGAATAATGAGGACTCAGCAGAGGGGGGCTGGTACATATTCACTGCCCCAGATACGCTTACACAATGCAAAACAAAAATATTTATTTCCTTACCTCTCTAATGAGTAGATGCAAATTATGCTCAAGGACATAAAGGTGGTCCTCTGGACTTTGCTTCTCAGTAGCAGATTTTTGGGATTTCTTATCATTTGACGAATGACACAAAGAAATGGATAACTGCAAGCCTATTTATAAAAATAAGTAGGACAAATATAAACAGTATGAAAAGGCACAAACTGTCTTTATAAAGTATAATCACAGCCCATTCTCAAAAGACAGACTCTAAATTTGAGAAGGAAACCTCATGATTAACATTTTTATAGCAAAATGACTATTCAGGAATATAATAAACTACCATATATTTTAACAGTTCAAATTGTTGATCTACAGTATGGCTGCTAACCTTGAGCTGTGACAAAAGACATGTGAACCGTAACTATGTATTAGTTTCATCCTGCCTTTAAATTAAACAAGCAAGCAAACAAACAATCAAACTTTTTTAAAAAAAAACCACAGAGTTGGTGTCTGGTCTTACTAACTAGGTGATAAATACTCTTCACTGTCTCCATGAGAACCAGGATGGCATTTTTCATTCCTAAAACCTATTCCTTTGACAAGATCTAAAAAGATACTCCTCAGAATTTATGTAAAAAACAAGTACACAGCTAACTACAAACTCATCTCCAGGAGAAGTCTATCTGCTTTTGAATAATATAATTAAAACCCAATTTCTACAAATTTAGGAATATTATGAGTACTTAATAAATTAAAGCATTTTCTAATTGACATCTCATTTAGACAAGAAGGAGGATCCCGGAAAAATTTTCTACAAATGGTGTTAGCATAGATACCTCAAAGTAACTGTTGCTGAATAACGGCCTTGCTAGTGCAAATTTTTAACACATATTGTTTAAAATTCTGTGCCCTAAGGAGTTACACTACTTAGGGCACAGAATAGAATTAGCAGTGCAGTTTGTGTTGCATACTTTACCAGCTGCCATTATGGACAGCATACTACCTCTACCTCTTTGCTCTTACTATTCCTTCAACGCACTCAAATAGCTACCCACTTTGTCCTGGTCCCCAAACCACAAAGTCCTATTTATAAATCTCAGAAGGGCTGGCTGCTCTTACTTGGAAAGGGCTGAGAGATAATCTGGTTTTTCACCACAATGTGAGGGATCTGTGATTTAATTTGAACAGCTTCCCGAGAGAGCTGTGCAAAAATTTCTTTACACAAGAGAACATTTTGTGCTGCTTCTAATTTTGTCTGCCAATGTGGGGAACCTAAAAGACAGGAGACATGTATATATTAATTATTTAGTTACATTATGTATTAACTAGCTTAAGTGGTGATCTGAATACATACTAAAAAAGTTGAGAAAACATTGTATTACAGCATATCCTTTCCAAAACATAAAAATCCTACTTCTTTTACACAGAGAAAACTGGTACATTAGTTCAATCTTTAAAAAAAGATTGCACAGCTAATCACTAATAATTAATTAACAAATTACAAAAAGTCCATTTCCAATTGTTCTTACTCCAAAATACCTATTTTTCCTATCAATATTTATCTTCAGTTTATTTGTAAATGTAAGCTCATATAAAACCAGTACTTAGAAGATGGAACATAACTACACCTGGTTTGGATTTGGGCAAAGGTCGTTTGAAGAGGTTAACTGTGCCAAGATCACCTATGTCTGGAGCCTGTTTTTGAATTGAAACCTATGTGACAACAAAAACATGAAAAAAATGTTAGCAAATTAACTTCTGAGCTCTACATAAGAAATTATTTGAAAAATACTCTAACAAATACCTTAATATATGCAGACCCCTCTAAATCACTAGGAATTTGAACATCAAGAGGACAGTAATCTTCAGGTATCTTCTTATCCAGATCAATATCTGTATTCTTTATTACTTCAAACGTACCATGATGGGGAAAGAGAGATCCTAATGAGGTGTTAAAAACAGGAGCATAAAAAAGTTAGTACATTTAACATACATTAGTAACTATATTTCACATCCACATCACTGAATTATAAATTAAGTTTCCATAACACGTGTGTTTCAGGGGGGATTGGGGTAGTGAGCAAAGAGGGATGAAAAGAAGCAGAAGAGTTACTAATCTTAAAATAATAACACTCCTTAGTCTAATGGTGTCATTATCACATGAATTCCGTGGGCTATCTAAATTGTTTTATTCCAATGGAGCTTCCATAAAATGAACGTACTTCTAGGAAATACTTCCTCATTTAAACCTTGGAGATTAAATAGTACTGGAGGCCAGCCTCTGTAGTAAGATTTTAACTGAAGTGTTCTGAATGCAGCAAGAGAACAACAAAGGATAGTACATACACCACCCTTTTTTCAACCAGTTCCTAGATTTTTATGTGTCTTTTTGTGTAGTGCAGAAGTTTGGGGAAGTTATTCTGGCTGCTGAATTATGTGAGGAGTGAGTGGTTAAATGTAACTGCTATTTTATAACAGGGGTAGATATTCAAGATCTTCTTGCAATTTAAAACAGAATGTAACTGAATCCCTTTACAACCATAGGCGAATGTTCCAAATAACTTAGGTACTTGCACATAATTATTTGTTGGAGCTTATAATGTCTAGAGCCACTGTGTACTGCTTTTCAGACCACCTAATAAAATGTAAAAAAGTCTCCGTCATCTTGAATTCTTCTTTGTAGTGGGACTTTGCCCTCAGAATTTAAAATTTTCCAATTCACATCAAGGCTGAGGCACACATTTGACTTAACTACCTCAACCTACTTTCCTTTAATTTTAGTATAATGATGGCTTGCTCTGGTAAATATACTCTTTTAAAATATCACTCTGATACTGTAATCTCAATTATCACAGCCAGGGCTCCATGCTTTATCCCTTGGCATTCAAAGCCTTTACCCTACTGAGCTATGACTCTTATAAACTTTTACTGGGGAGTTCCTCTGAGTATACTTCAGCAGCTTAAAGACATAACCATGATTACTTTGATAAATATAGCTCAACAACAAAGAATTTATACCAAAAGATGTGAATTCAAGATCACCAAACTTTGATATACTTCAACAAAGTATATTCTTTAAGTTAGTGCTGCAGGCTTGGATCAGTGGGAAAAGGGAAGGCAAAGTGTTTTCACCATCCTCTCTCTTCACCCAGGATGTGAAAACAGCTTAGCAGACTAAAGGGAGGAAAAAAAGAACACAGGAAAAATACAAATGTTTCTTTTCTCTTTTTATGCCCAGTTTTTGAGGGTTACAGGTGAGCCCTTGATTGAAGAGTCCAGTCCTACCTCTTGATTTCTGACTAAAATGTTAATTATGGTTCAAGGTTATTATTAGCACATAATAAGCCTTATCTCTGAACTTTCAGTTAGTTGTACCTATAAGATTTTCAGAGTGAATCTTAACTATGTATCTTTATATAATACTGTGATAAGAGTAATTTTAGCTTCTTTCAGGCATATGTGTACAGAAATTAAAACTTTAAAATGTAACTGAAGAACAATATATTATAGGAGAATACGTAACATTACAATCAACTCTATATTTTTTTGCACAAACTATTGTTTAAAAGTATAGTTTTCAACAAAAACCTACATACCTACCTGCACTTCTGTAGCTGAGATCTCCAAGAATTTTATCTCCAACTTTTCTAAGTTTCCAATGTTGCCGTAATCTCAAAAGCTCAGAGTTGAAGTCTCTTTGTAGCTTATTTTCTTGATTTTCAGTGACTGATTTGGTCAGTCTTTCTGCCCCCTTCAATAGGATTTGTGCTGCTCCAGCAAGTGACTTCTTTTTAGATATCAACTGCAATGTCTGAGGATTCTATCAAAAACAATCCAAAGTATAGTTCTGTATTATTAAGTGATGTAAAAATTACATATTTTCTTAATAATAAAATACACTTAAGAGAAAATTTAGAAATTAAAGAAAAGCAAAAAGAAGGGGGAAAGTGCATATAATAATTTTTTTTTAAAATAACCTATTTCTTTGGTCAACTCAAATAAAGACTTACATTAAACCTAAGACACCACAGTGGACTATAAATCAGAACTTAATACTGTATCAACCCTGCCCAGCCTAGGTTAGGTATTTCATTTGTGTACTGCCATCCCTCTTCTTTATGTATTACTACTCCCCACCCACATGTGTAACTCTTCTGTGGCACTCATTATACTTTTGATTAAAGTCTATAATCTCTGCTGGAATGTAACCTACATGATGGCAGGAACCACTATATCCAGACCCTAGAACAATGCCTGGAACATAATATTTGATTTAATGAATAAATAAATGACTGCATTGATTATAGCTGGAAAGTTATCCTGTATTATGGCAAGCTACTACACTGCCTTTGGAAGTAACACCAAAACCATGCAGCACCGACGTTAAATGTACTCAACTGAATGCAAATGTTTGGAAAACTGATGAGAAGTTAAAACTTGTGTCATATACATACATAAATATCCATAATCACCACCAATTTGTGCATCGTATTAACCATACTTCCAAAAAGAAAGTTTTCTGGCTGTATTAGAGTCAAAATCATTAAGTTTCATAAAAATGTCACAAAAATATTTTGTTCATATTAAGGAACCTAATTCTAAGTTCTCAGCTCAAGAAACCCCTAGAGACTCCCTTCTGGGAAAAGCACAGAATGGTAGAAAAGGCAATGGGCTATGAGTGAGATGCTGGAGGTCTAGGCTTGGCTCTCTATCCACTGGCTTTACTGTAATCCGAAAATATCACAGAGCTCTTTGGGCCTTAGTTTTCTCTCTGTAAAATGAAGGAAGCAGATTTAATGATTTCTAAGAAGTCTTCACACACAATGTTTTTAGATTCTGAAACTATTACCATGTAATTATATCCAATTAATTTTATTTACAAATGGGTCCTTATGACCGTCACTTCCTCTCCATGCCACTAACTTGGTCATGGTCCTGATGCTTGTTTTCCTTAAGGACCTAAGTAGCTTCCCTGATTTCAGACTCTTCATTCACCAATTCAACTGCGCTGCCTCTCTTCCACTTTTTAATGCTCAAAAATTGAATATACTCTTCATCGAATCTCAGTATTTCTACCTTGCTTTCAATGTCCTTCATAATTTGGCCTTTCTAATTTTTCTAAAAGGGGCCTTAAAAGGGGGCTAGAGGGTTAGAAGGGAAAACTGAGACTAAGAAAAGGACTTGTTCAAGGTTACAAGGCTAGTGACGGCAGAGAATGATTGAGACCAGGTCTGTCTGATTCCAAAGTCATTTTACCATCACATTTTTGTGTAATATATTACAGACTAAGGATCCAGGCTGTAAGAATTTGTTAAGATTTGAGAAACTTTAAAGTGTTACATTATTAATGAGACTTAACTCTTCTGAGGGTCACGGGTATATTAATAAAATAATAGATAAAGAATATGTAGTTTTATCCTTTTGTTTTGAACCAGATAGTCTTTAAATCTTCACTTAATTTTCCATGAAAAAGGAATAGGCACAAAGCCTAAAAAATGATCCTAGAACTTAATAAAATGATACTATTATTCAATTAAAGCCCACAAATACCTGTTTTGGAGGAAGTGCATCCTGGGAGACGGGATCAAGAGTCATAAATTTTTTATCCCTAACAATACTGAGAACATCATAGAGAACACACATCTCTGTCAGGGCACTTCTCAAATTGTTCCTCACTGAATCCCAAGGCCAAAGAGAAGGTTGAAATTTTACCAACCCTAAACAGAGAAAGAAAAAAAAGAAATACACAGGTATTATTTACATTGAATAGAAGAGAGAAAGCTTATTTAGAGATTTAAAAGTACTAAAAGAAGAAATAATGAATTTTATTTCAAATTGTTCCCTCTTTTAACCTATTCCTTCCACCCTTTCTTGAATTTTTGCTACCATGGAAGTAAGCATTCCTACAATGGCAAAACAAATATGATATCTAATTTCCATAGGGAATTACATTACAACATGATAGGTAGGCATTCAAATCTTTTTAAAGTTATGCAGGCTTTTTTAATAACCTTTTTCCTCCAGCTTTTAAAACATGGATAAGTAATTATAGAGAATTTCCATAATACAGAAAAGTACAAAAATAAAAATGACCTATAATGGCAGCATTCGGACATTAAACACTATTAATATCTTCCAAATTTTTTTAATAAATTTAAATTAGTTTAAGTATACAGTACATTGGTTAGACATCTATATTGTTCATAAAACGATCCCAATTGCTCCCTCCCCTGGCCCTCTACTTAGCCATATTAATGGTAATTACTCCCTCTGCTGTGCTCCCCATCCTCGTGACCAACTATCAACTACAAATTTGTACTTCTTTAATCCTTCACCCCATTCTCCCAGCCCCCCAACCCCTTCCCCTCTGTCACCAAACTGTCCACTATATTTGTGAGTCTGTTTGATTAATTTGTTCTTTTTATTCCTTAGATACTGCATATAAGTGAAATCATATGGTATTTATCTTTCTCTGACTTATTTCACTCAGCATAATAACCTCTAGGTCCATCCATGTCATTGCAAATGGTAGGATTTCATTTTTTTTAATGGCTGAGTAATATTCCATTGTATATATGAACCACAATTTCTTTATCCAATGGTCTGTTGATGGGCATTTAGGTTGCTTCCATATCTTGGCTATTGTAAATTGTGCTGCCATGAATACTGGGGTGCATAGATCTTTATGAATTATTGTTTTGGTTTTTTTGGATAAATACCCAGAGTGCCATTGCTGGGTCAAAAGGTATGTCCATTTTTAATTTTTTGAGAAACCTCATACTGTTTTCCATAGCGGCTGTACCAATTTGCAATGCCACCACCAGTGCATGAGGGTTCCCTTTTTTCTACATTCTCACCAACACTTGCTGTTCTTTAATTTACTGATGATAGCATTCTGACAGGTGTGAGGTGCTATCTCACTGTGGTTTAAATTTGTATTTCTCTGATGATTAGCGACCTTGAGCATCTTTTCATATGTCTGTTAGCCATCTGTATTTCCTCTTTGGAGAAGTATTTGTTCAGGTCTTCTGTGCATTTTTTAATTGGATTGTTTGGTCTTTTGTTGTTGACATTCTTCCAACTTCTTAATCATTTTTTTAAATCTCTTCTTAAAATTAAATTTCATGAACACGTGCTTACTGTATAGAGTTCAAATACTAGAGTTACAGAGTAAAAAGTGAAAGTTTTCCTCTACTCCCCACCCTTAATTTTCTTCCCTCCTGAAAGGTAATCAGGTAATATTAACGGTTGGAGTGTACCTGTCCAAATGTTTTTCTATGCATTTACATACATACACTCTCATCTTTCTATTACTTGCTTCCTCCCTACCCCAACTTAATACGTTTTAGAGATACTTCCATGTCAGCCCATATAGATCTACTTCATTCTTTTAACACAGTATATTCTGGAGCACAGATATAGAATAACTTTAACCATTCCTATTTATTGGACATATAGGTGGGTTTCAACAATGCTAGTAGTGGTAAACAACTTGTACGAACATTTATGTACATGTACATATTCTGTAGGTTAAATTTGAGTTGACATCAGTGGTTCAAAAGAGATGCACATTTAAAAATTTGACACATTTTGAACTGCCAAAGTGTCTTCAAAAAGGCTCTATCAATTCACATTCCCAACCCTGGATATTAACACTCTTTTAAATTTCTGCTAATCTTATGCATTGAAAATAGTATCTTAATGTTTTAGTTTGTTTCTCCCTACTAATGAGCTCTTAAGTCTTTTTTCTGTGAGCTGACTGCTTATTATCTTTGGCCTATTTTTCCAATGAGTTGTCTCTTTGCAGTTTGAAGGGGCTCTGAATATCAGGGATATCAACCACTTGTGTATTATATATGTGGCAAATACTTTCCCCAGCCTGTCACTTATCTTTTTCTATTAATATTTTAAAACTTTATGTAATTATCTTTTCCTTTATAACTTGCATTTCCTATCCTGATTAAGAAAGTCTCTCCTACTCCCAAAGTCATATGACTATAATTTCCTTCCAATATTTTATTTTGTTCTCTTACTTTGCATTTCAATCCTTGGGGAAATAATTTTTGTGTGAAGTATAAGGTGGTATTTACCTTTGATTCCTAAACGGACTGTCAATTGACCTAAGACCACTGGCTTGAAATGCCATCCTTAAATTCCCATTTACGCAGGATCTGCTGCACATATCTAAATCAAGAATTGTGAATATTTTTTATCCTTGACAAAAATGAGAATCCAAAAACCACTCATACTTTTTCTACAATTCTCTAATTAGCTTCCCTCCTTCCAATTTTATTTTCCATTTTCAACATAGCACCCTGAATAATCCTTTTTTAAAAAATCATCTGTCTACTTAAAATGCTTCGAAAACTTTCAGTTGTCCCAATAAAAGCCAAATGCTTATCCTGGCCTCCTGGCTCTACACGATTTGACCCCTGCCTACCTCTTAAACCTTATCTCATACTCCAGTCAATAGAGACTTCTTTTCAGTAGGTGTTACTATCAACATCCACATTGCACAGGGAAACACTCAGTCAAGCTCCCAAAGTTAAAAAGTGGCAGAGCCGCGATACGAACTACAGGGCTCTCAGAGTGTGCCATATTACAAAACCTCTATTAAAAACGTATTTAAACACTGCCCTAGTGACAGTGTCTCAAACACTACAACTTAAGGAAACCTGCAGAAAGACAAGAAGCATTAAGAGTTAAGGAGTGCCCTAAATTGTCCAGCTATTAAAAAAACAAACAAACAAAAAAAACCTCACCGGCACAATGTTCCTTGCGGGTGTTGCTTTCAAAAAGACGCACAGCATCTCACTTCGCTCAGAAGAGGCAGAGTGACATTACATGGGCGGATACGAGAAGCAGATACGGGCCTTACCTTCCTCGTCGTCCTGGTCCGCGCTGGACCCGGCGCCCGCCCAGTCCTGCGCATCACCCTCAGCCCCCGCCGCCTCCTCCTCCTCAGAGCCCGAACCCTGGCTGAAGTCGATCCGCTGGGCCAGTCGCGCCAGGTTCTGCGACATGGACAGCGGCTGCAGGTACGTCTCAGTGCCATCCAGGCCCACCTCCTGGACCTGCTTCTCGCAGGCTGACTCGATGCTGATCCGCACAGCGCGCACCCCAGACATGCTGGCGGCGAGGGCGAGCGCCGGGAGGAGGCCCGCACGACCCAAAAACCAAGATAGGAAGCAGAGGCGCCTCTGCGAGTAGCCAGAAACCAGGGAACTGCGGTGCCTCTGCGGGCTCTCCGGAAACCAAACGCAACTCCTCCTCCGGAAACAAAGCCGACGGCCTAGAGACTTTCCCAGAATGCACTGCAGGACCTTTCTCCCGGCTGGGAAGCTCCCGGAATGAAACTGGCAGGCCGCAGGCGCTCTGGGCTTCCGGGGGAAGAACTTCCGGTGAGTCCATAGCGGAGCAGGCGAAAACTTACCTGCCTGTAGGAGGCGTGGACCACAACGGGAGGTGGGGATCCCGGTGCAGAGTGTGGAAGCGATGGTCTCTGGTGTCCCTCTGCATTTTAAGTGTTACTTGTTTGAAAGTGTTGGAGGAAGGAAAGCTGAAGAAGGCCGAAAAGAGGTAGGGGAAAAAAATGAATGAGTCCCTAGATCAGCAATGAGTCCCTCTAGGAATGTTGTGATTTGAGGGCTTACGCCTGGAGTAGAAACATGTCTGAAGAGTTATAAAATAGGGAGTAGTTTGAGGAAAATAATTGTGCTTATTACTACTTAAAATTATACTTCATAATTAGTTTATGTTTTTCCGTTAGTTGTAAACTCCATGACTATCTTCAGCAAGCATGATAGACACTGGCATGTAATAAGGGCTTAATAAATATGTTTATTTTACGCCTGAGTGAGAATACGTAATATTTAAAAGATTAAGAAACAGTGGTATAACTTCAGTCTCAGAGTCCCCAGAAAGTATTGCTTTAAATCTTTGTTTTTCAGATGATGATATTTTCAAAAAGTAGTCATCTGGATTATTTTCTATTACTGAACTTTACTTATTTAAGTGTTGTGGCCTGTATAGAATAGACCAAACCAAGTATGCTCTCAAAGGCTGTTTATTAGCCGGCGGCTGTCCTGTACAAAGGAGCAGCCCCGAAATGCCAAGATACATGGTTTTTAAGCCCTAAATCCCATTCTTCATTCTATCTTAAACACAAAGGTCTATTTCTCTCCTATTCACTACCTGTCAACCCACTGGTCAGGTGTGCAAGCGGGGAGTACAGAAGCAGAAAGCTTGTTGTTAGAATGTTATGTTCCCATGGGTGATTGCCTATGTTCCCATGGGCAATAGGCAGTATTCTCATGGGCGATGGCCAAACAGTAATTTTCAGCTTATATATAATTGATTATTTTTCATGCCATGCAAGCAAGCAGGGTTACACAGGCTAAAATTGGCAGTTAGCGTATGAGCTCATTGTTACAAGTTTTATGATTAACAGAATGCAGTTAGGGGTTCCAGAAAGTAGGCCTAAGGTATAGACTTCCTTTGTCCAGTTTCAGGTTTTAATTATCCTTCAACCTTTTCACATTTCAACAGGCTGTCACATAAGGAATTATATATACAACTGATTATGAATCTTTATAAATTTTGTTCCGATCAAGATATCTTTAAGTTTTTGAACTACTTTTCAAAGGTACTTAGGGAAAAAAAAATGCACTTGTGTCAATCTCTACCGAAACAAAGTGGCAGGGTATATTGGGGGGTGAGTAACCTATTTTTAACAAGCTCAACAGTGATTCTGTTGCATAATCATGTTTGAGAACTACTGTATTTTTTATGCATACATTTGTAAAAAGTTTTAATTCTTTACATTTTAAATTTATCATAGGTTCTATTTGTGCTAGTCACTGTGCTAAGTATTTTAAACATATTTCTCATTTAATCTTTACAAGGTACTCATACTTCTGCAGTTTGGCTGGGCCATCTCGGGCTTGCTCATACACCTGAGAGCCAGCTGATCTAGACTGGGCTCCACTAGTTGGTTCTACTTCAAGTTATAGGTCTACAGGTCATTCAGATGACTCTACCATGTGTCTCTCATTCTACTTGTAGTAGCAGGCTGGTCAGGTTATGTTCTTTTTATGGTGATGGTAGAGGTATAAGAGGTAAGCCTTGCCTGTATCACATGTCTAACATCCACAAGTCCCATAGCAAGGCCCAGAAGTTAAGGGTGGAAGAGGGTATTCACTCAGCTTTCTTAGTTGCAGAAACTGCAGTTACATGGTAAGAGTAGTGAATAAAAGGAGGAGCAGGGCCAGCAATCTGCCATATATGGAAAATAATCCAGTTACATTCCCCTCCTCATACCACGAAAAATATTTGTCAGATTTGAGGCTTCATGGAGCGCAAATCTTCCAAAGTAAAGAATGGAACCCTCTAAGGAAACAGGGATCTGCCAGGCTCAATTAAAACCTCTAGATTAAAAGGCTCTAAGCAGAGGTGTCCTGAGTCTTATTTAAATTTTAAAATGCAACCCAATCCCAACCCAGCTTAATCTCTGATTACATTGAGGTAATCAGTGTCTTATCTGCCTAACAAAAGAAAGGTGGAAGTTATCATCTAGAACACACAATCTTCATCATATAATAATGCTAGTAGTAGTAGTAGAAGATATGTAAGTAGGCAAGAAAGAGTGACTGATAATCAGAAGCAAAAACAAATAATAAAGACATATCCATGGATGATCAAGGTAGGCAGGAACTTTAAAATAACTGATTAATGTGTTAAAGGAAATAGAAATAGACAAAATGGATGAAAAGATAGGGTGTTTGAACAGAAAATTTCAATCTATAAAAAAATATGTACATTCTAGGCTGGGAAAAAAAAGCTGAAATTAACAACCGTTAAGATAGGTTTACTAAGAAGTTTGACATAGCACAGAACAGGATTAGTGAACTCAGAGACAGGTCAATGGAAGAATCCAAAACAAAGCACAGAACAGAACAGAGTGTAAGATAATTTGGGATACACATTCAAAAGTCTTACAGACATTACAAGTCTAATAAAGGAATACTATAAACAACACCCTTTTTCCTGCTTCCTCTAGCCACAAATACGTTTTTATTTTAGCCCCTCAAATCCCATCCTGCAATACATTTCTTCACAACTGGGAAAAGAGAAAAACAGGACCAGAAGAGGCCCATTTCCTGATTGCTCTGTATTCATTTTTCTGGTTTTTCTCTTAGTGTTTTAGGTGTTTGGCCTCTGGGCAGGGCGGAGAGAAAGAGAGAAAACAGGAAAAAATGGAGACTTTAACACAGTGGCTTGCTGGGGCTCCCTTTTCTAGTTCTTTGGCCTGAAAGGACTGTCTCTTGGGAATTCTTACTGTCCCATGCCTATTGCTTAGTTCTGTGACCTAGGCTGCCTTGGGTCAAATTCAGGATATAAAAGAATATAAAATTTATTCTTCGAGTTTTGACTTCCCTCTTCAGCCTGGCTGCTACGGTTTAATTTTCAAGAGTGTTCTCAGTTTAGGTCCTTACGGCAACTTCTAGAGACCTAAAGTGTGAATTCAGCAGGCAGGCCTGTAGGAGGACAGCTCACTTCCCCTAAGGGCTGTGATTTTTAGTAACTCAGCCCATCTTGCTGGCTTCACTTTGCAGTTAGTTCCACCTTCACTTTTCTCCCTTACTGAATGCAGAACCCTCTGCCTATTCATATTTTTTTCAGAGCCAAATCCTCTTAGCCCTTTACCTACACTTCTGTTGATTTTTCATGTCACTGTACCAGGGTGGGTACTTGAAAAATTGGCTTGTCATTTCATTCATAATATGCCTCAGGAATTCACTAGTATCTAAGACTAGTGAAGTCAGTATATCATGATCCAATCTTACTTAATACGGTTCTTTACTTTAGTATTTCAATACATTTCATAGGAAAACATCACAAAAGATATTGTCATTGACACTTTCTCATACTTTCCAAAGGCAAATAGGATATCCTCACCCAACACAGTCATCCCTCTCGTTACTGTCCACACCTTCTCACGTTATCACAAATGGAGGTCACTGAACATACAAAGCATAACTCCTTAGGAAAAAAGTGGTATACATAGGAATAGGATGTCAATATATCAGAAAAGAATTCTAACCAAGTCAAGAGAACAAAAGAGAAATAGTTAACTTAAAAATAATTGTACATTACTAAATCACCATAATTCTTTAGTACAAACAAAGATATTTTAAGAAAATACATGAAAAGTTAAGTACAAAAGAACATACTTCCAAGAAAGAGATTCATGGTACTATGTCCTTAACTTTATATTTAAGAGTTAAAAAGAAGTTACCAATAACTATCTGTGTAATGACACCATTTTATTAGGAAATATTACTGATACAATTAAAGCTCCTTTGTACTCCTAGTTCACATCTCCCTCTCTCCTCCTAGCAATACCATGACTTATTTCCATGTGTTTATTTTTAAATCAGTCACTTAATTTCTGTGAAATAGAGCACTCCAGGTCACAGGTTTAAAACAGTAATCATTCATACTTTAAGCATCTGTTTTCTGGGGATTGGTGGACCTAAGCTGGGCTTCCATTCTCTCCTAGATACTCATTGGCCAAGTAGTCTTTCACTATCTTGTTAACTCTTTATTAGTACCTTCAAGGAGGTACATTTATATTTTTCCAGCTTTTAAAATTATCTTTAGTGAGGATCTGTCTGAATTATCTAATCCACTATTACTGGAAATAGAAATCTTAACATTTAACACTGGCCATTGGTTTTTCCTTTTCTGCTAAATGCCAGTTCATAATTTCTATTTTTCTATTGGGTGTTTGTCTTTTCCTTATTGATTTGGAGATTTTCTTAATGCATTCTGAATACGAGCTGAATTTCATCAGCTATGTTTTGAAAATATGTTCTCCCAGACCGTGGTCTGCTTTCTTCCTTTTTGAGATATAATTTGACCAAGAAAAGTTTTACGTTTTGATGTTGTCAGATCAGATTTATCTGTCTTTAATAGTTTGTCTTATGTTCTTTAAGAAATCCTTCTATGCTCCAATGTCATAAAGATAACCTCTTACACTTTTTTAAAACTTTAAACAATTTAATATTCACATTTAAGTCTTTAATTCATTGAGTATTGAGTCCAATCTAATTTTATTTTTCTATATTAAAAACTGGTTGTGGCAGCACTATTTGAATACATTTTCCTTTCCTCATTGAAGTATCTACATATGTGAGGATCTGTTTCTGGTCTTGGTTTTCTGTTCTATTGGTTTGATTGTCCATCACTGTGCCAAAAACATGATCTTTTAATAAGTTTATAGATTTTGATATCTATATATCAAATATCCCTAACCTAGTCGTCTTGAAAATTGTCTTTGCTTATCTTGGCCTTTTGCTAATGCATATATTTTAGAATCAACTGCTGAGGTTCTATGAAAAGCTTTAGTGGGATTAGGTGCGTATTGAACTGAATGTATAGTTTTGAGAAGAATTGATATTTTAATGAGATTGCATCTTCCTAGTTATAACTATTTTTTGACACTTCTTTAAGTTTACAACAGGTTTATAATTTTATCAATGAAGGTTATATGTAATTTTTGTTAAAGTATTGCTATGTAGTTTTGATAACATTGTAATTGATCTTTTTCACATTTACATTTTTAATTGTTTCTTGTTAGTTTGCAGAAATACAATCCATTATATATTGATTTTATATTTAGAAACTTTTTGAACTCAGTCTAATAATTTCACTATACATTCTCTTTTGTTTTCTAAGAAGTGAATCATGTTTTCTGCTAAAAAGCTTATTTTTTTCTTCCTTTTTGGTAGTTACGGTTCTTCTCTTTCCTGTCCTTTTTTTTTTGGTTGAAATTCCAATAATTAATGATATTGGGCATCCTCACATTTCTAATTTCAAAGTGTATATGGCATTAACATAATTTTGTGAATAGATATATCTATATATATAATTTTAAAAATTGCTTCTCAGAGAATCCTGTTGTGTTCACAGTGGCCTCCTTGCTGTTTCTTGAACATACCAAGTTCTCTTCTGCCTCTGGGCTTTTGAAACTGCCAGGAAGGATGTTTTTACAAAGAACTTAATGTCTCACTTCTTATTTCTTTCAGGTCTTTGCTCACGTATCTCTTTATCAGAAGCTTTCCCTGATCTCCCTATATAAAATGTCCTTATATAGAGAGTCTGATTCCATTTTTGATGTTTGACTGCTGACAGCTAAGCCTTACCCTTTCTTCCCTTTCTGCCCCACATCTGGGCAAGCTGACAAAAAAGCCTGGGTGCTCCTTCCTTCGACACTTGTGGGAAAATCAAACTGCATGCAGAACCGTCACCCTGGCCGTACCTCCTAACCACCAGCAAACCCCCAAGGACTTCATCAGTCTTGACATTTGAACCAAATTTTGCGTGGGGAGTCCATTCTGTCTCGGCATAGGATGGCCACAACAAAATAGCATCTACCTTTACAGTTCATCCAATGCTTTATTTTCTTCATAGCACTTACTACCACCTGACATTATTATATATTTGCTTAATATTTGTCTTCCCTACTATATAAATGATTGAATGATAGATCCCAGCATCTAGTCAAGTATCTGGTATAATCATCCACCCATTCATTCATTCAACCAATATTTATTGAGTGCCTACTTTGGCCAGACACTGTTGAAGGCACTAGTGCTATACTGGTGATCAAAGCTCTTGTCTTCATAGAGCATACATTCCAGAGAGCAGGGTATGTGTTCAATACATATTTACGTGAATATTAATATTATTTTTGTCTAGAGGTAAATATTAAAAAGAAACAATATCATATTGTGAATTTTAAAATTTTATTCATTCTTTTGCTACAAACTAGTACTTATTTAAAAATATTTTAAAATTTATACTCAAAGGATATGTTATAGCTTACATCCAGAGAAGACAATCAAATAATATTTTTTGATTTATTATGTGCTTAGTACTGAAGAGCTCCTAAATCTGCACATTGTTGGCATTAATAAGATTACAGTTGATTTCTTACTAATGATTATTACAGAAGAACACTGAAGAAAATTTCAACCATTATAACCAGTAACAAATGTATTCAAATATAATTTTATATTTCACAAAGGACAGTGGTCATGTGTAACAACAGCCTCACTTAGAAATTATACTCACTTCAGTGTTGTATTTTGATGCTGTTTCTTTTCCCCGCTTTCTTCTTCCAAATAACTAATAAGGTACAAACTGCTTCCAGTTGGCGATCCAAACAAAAGAGGAATCATGGCTAACTGTCTAGTTGCTAATGTTTGTACAAGGCAAACTGCAAACTCTGAGTATGGTTCAACTTCACCAAAAGGGGTAAAGTTGCTCCTTCTGATCACCTTATTCCATGAAAAAAGTGTACTCTGACTCCTAAAATAGACTTTTAAAATTCAATACAAAGATTCAACAACTATCAAAATTTCCAACACTGATTTTTCTAGTACCCAGAAATACCCAATTAGCAGTTGTGAGACTAATTTGAAAAAATTAATAATGTTAAGTGTAAATTATTACTGTTAGTAAAATTAACCAATCACATGATTCCAGATCATGTTTATATTTAAGGTATAAATATAAGACTGATTTTTAGAATAAAAAAATAATGAAGAACATCTCCATTATATATCTTTGTTCCCAAGAAACTTTTTCAGATCTATGAAATAACAGAGTAATGTCAACATACCTTTCATTTCAAAGGCCAAAAAAATAGGGTTTAAGTAGTAAGATCATTTCTATTGAACTTTATATTTGTAGCAATTAATGAGTTAATCATTTAATTAACTTTAGTTAATCACTTCTTTTTCTAAATGCTGATCAGTTGATTTAATCTCGCCCATATGAATGGGTCTCTTCTGGTTGATCAATGCGATAAAGAAACTCCGCAGGTAAGAAGTAGCCAAGATATTCTACTATATCTGGGGTAATGTCATAATGGTAGTGTCCACCTTCTCCATGATGACTGAAAAAGTGAGTGTGCTCCAATCGCAAATCAAATCCCTAGGATGACAGACGAGCTATCTGTTAATATTCAAGTTATTTTGGATAGAATTTATTGGGGCAAGAGATCTTTATGTTACAGTAGTTTTTATATTTTATTGTTTAAGTAGGTAATACATTCACAAGATACAAACTTCAAAGGGTGCAAAAGGATATATTCAGTAAAATATACCTTTCCATCTCCTGCCCTTACCTGACTCACTTCCTTTCCTTGAAGGCAACCAATGTAAGCAGTTTCATCTATATCCTTCCAAAAAGATTGATTTTTTTGTTTTTTACTCAAATGGTAGCACTCTGTGTACTGCATATTGCTTTTCTTCATTTGACAATATAGCGTTGAGATCTTTGTATATCAGATCATAAAAGAGCTTCCTTATTCTTTTACACCTACATGGTATTCTACTGTATGTACATACCACTTTTCAACTAACATTTAGATTATTTGAATTCTTCTGCTATTATGGCAATCCTACCATGAGTAGTCTTTTAATAATCATTTTATACACTTATGCAAATATTCAAGGTTAAATTCCTAGACATGTAATCAATCATTGGATCAAAAGATATCACTAGCCAGGATTTTAGTAGATATTTGCTTTGAATTGGTCTATATTATAATATTTTTTTCTAATGTATAATATTAGAATATACTGAACAGGTAATAAAATGGTAAGCCTGAATCTTGTTGCGATTCTACTACTTAAATACATGACTTTTGGTATTATTTAAAATGGTTGTGTCTTCATTTCTTCAAAGTTAAAATCTGCTCTGCCTAACTCATAAGGTCTTTAGCCACCTGCTCTGTTACTACTCAGAATAATTCTAGAGACTATCCTAATTCTTAACACAAAAAGTGCCTGGTTGTAAAAGAATATTATGAATATTGAGCATTATCATTGTGGTATACTGCAATATAAAAGACAGACATAGACTTACTGGGTCTTTGGAGACAAAAACTGGCAGACAAATCAAAGGAGCCTTCATCTCATAAAAATTCAACCATTCATTCACCTTTTCCTCAGAGTTCAAAGGGCAGGAAGGAAATTCTGCAGGCTATAATAAAAGATCATTAAACAGATAAACATACTGAATATTATTGAGAATTAAAATTTTTATATTACATTAAAAACTTTAAGCCTTCTTATACATTCTATTGACTATTTTTGGCATCAAAAGAAGTTATACACTCTAGTTTTCAAAAGGATCATCAATCAATGTATATACACTAAAACATATGCATGAATAAATGAAAGAAATGCGTCTATTACTATATTTTTATTCTTCATAGCCAGTTTTCCCGTGAATATATCCTCATTCTAATCTTAAATGTCATCCTATACTTAAAGTACACAATACTTTATTAACTATAATTACCATGATGTACATTAGATTTCTAGAACTTACTCATAACTGAAAGTTTGTACCTTTTGACCAACATCTCTCCATTTCCCTTGCTATCACTTCCAAGCCCCTGACAACCACCACTCTACTCTGTATCTCTAATTTGGATTTTTTTTGGATTCTAAAAGCTGGTATCACACAATATTCATCTTTCTGTGCCTGGCTTATTACACTTAGTATAAGTTCATCCACATTATTGCAAATGTCAGGATTTCCTTCTTTTTTAAGCCTGAATAATTTTGTATATATCTATATCACAGATAGATAGGTAGATGGATAGACAGGTAATCACAATTTCTTTATTAATCCATTGATGGACACTTAGTTTGTTTCCATAACTAGGCTATTGTGAATAATGCCGCAGTGAACATAGGAGTTCAGGTATCTCTTCAGGATACCAATTTCATTTCCTTTGGATATATACCCAGAAGTAGAATTGCTGGATCATATGGAAGCTATTTATTTAAATTTTTTGAGGACCTTTCGTACTGTTTTCCATAGTGGTTGTACAATCCTGTAATAATTTGGTAGTTACAAATAAATTTATAATTTTGTTGTAAATAATTTGGAAAAATAAGTAGTTTCACAAATGTGTTTCTTTGCAGGATCAGCTGGCTTGCCATTTAAAATTATCAGCATGAAAAAACATTAAAACAATAAATTTTATAATGACTTTATTGATAAAAAAAAAAGGAAGTTGTAATCACTTTCACCATTCATTCATTCACCTACCAAAAATTATTTTAAAGGAATGCCCTAGGCCTGTCTTTATATAGTATTCCATCCTTAATATCTTATAAATTTGTTATATTTAGCCCACAGATTATAATTTTCATGATACCCAAACCACAACTATCCTAATAGTAAAGTCTATGTATGGGATTCTGGCAATGAAAATAAGAATCCTTTTAGCACGTTTAATGCTCACATTGATCTTGATCTTAAAAACAAGGAAAGTTGAAAGTTCTAATATATTAACATGAAAAAAAAGACTCTAGATGTTATTGCATAATATAATTTACAGTATTGTTTGTCATTTGAATTTTAAAGTAATACAATCTAGTAAAAGGATTTGTTCAGGGTGTCTTTAAAAGTAGAATTCTCAATGCATATTTACAAAATCCATAGGGCCTTAAACATATATGAACACACCCACACGAGCATGCGTTCACACACCCACAATCCCTTACCATAATGTGAGTCTTCACTTTTCCCTTCTGAATTACGAAAGTACCTCCCATCCCTACAGCCTTATCTCCATAATGTTTTTCAAGAGTCTGTCTCATACAAGTCACAAAGTTAAGTTTTCCAGTTCTTCTTTTGGCTTTCACCTCAATGACCTAGAGAGGACATTAATATGCATACCGTTGTTATAAGTTGCAAAATTTTATGTAAATAACTACCAAAGTGAAACATACAATCTAATGCCATCAAGCAAATATTCACTAGTTTGCTTAGCGAACCCAAATGAGTTGAAGTACCTGAATCCTCTGTAAGTCTTGATCAATAACATATATATGAGTTATATATAATTTTCTGTAATAAGTCTTATTTATGGACTGAGAAAGAGTTATAGCTAAATCCTACACTGAACTCTAGAGATTCTTATTATATCAAGGTGGTCAAAGGTTGAGAATTCCCTCGCTTAAAGGGTATTGCTTACTGAGTGTGATTCTTAACCTCAGTTTTAAATGAGACTTTAGTACTTTCTGAATCTTTCATAACTGGGTTAATTGCAGGGGAGGTGAAAATTATTACATTTTCTCACTTTAAAATTCTGAACTCAGGTTACCTCGAGTTTATTAGGTATTTTTATTTTACTACCTCATTTCTCAAAGTAGCTGAAGTAGCTGTCTCTATGAAATCTGAGAGTTCTCACAACTGCTAAAACTGAAATCATCTTTTTGGGTACTAACAGGAAGTAAATCTGAAGTGAGGCATTAATTTTCCTTATCTCCTTCTTACTATAATTTTTTTGCTGACATCATTTCTGTCTAGTTCAATTTCTGATCAGTTAGGAATGAACAAATTGCAAATACACTAACTATATAGGTAGACATTGTATTAGCAAAACAGTTCATCTGTTTGACTAAGTCATTCTCCACATGAATATCCTGTTATCTTTTAGTTCCTCAGAAAAAAAGGGTATTGCTTACTAAATATTAGACTTAACTTTAGTTTTAAATGTTACCTTCACTCTGCCTGTATCTTTCATAATTGAGTTATTTAAAGAGCTTTGACTTAGGTATTTGGATTTTCTTTAGAAAATGATATTTGTGGCAATAAAAGTTCAAAATTTTAGCTACCTGAGAACTTTTGAACAACACTATGTTTTTATGAACAAAATCACCTTTCCATGTTGGCCCTCACTGGCAAAAAGATTAGCCAGTAATGCACACCCAAAATCACGATATTTCTCACTGTATTTCTCTAGTAAGCATCCTCCATCTGCAGGGTTAACACGGGCAAAGTAACTTCCATTCACAGGAGGTTTGTGTTCACTTTCTGTTTGAACAATTGGCATAAACTGAAAAGTAAATAAGGTAATTAGTCAATCCTAGTATTTCAATGCAAACAGAATATTTTGAATAATGTGATAGAATTTTATTAGACTTTGACAATTTAATTTAAAGACATAAGAAAACATGAAATACGAAATAATTTTAGAGTTAAAAAATGTTGAAGGTTTACAAATACCAAAAAACTGAAAACATTGTTTACAGTATTTCTTATAGTTTTCTATAACATTGTAACATTTGCTTTTAAATTTCTAATTTTAAACTTTTTTCCATCTTGAATACTAGGCAAATTATATTAATGATTCTGCAGAATAACTTGTATGATTGTTGACTAATGGTCACCTCTGTAAAGGTTGTGAGAGAATTGGCAGACTGAGGAGGTCATTCACTCTTTATTCATGAGATCTGAAGAAACAGTGATACTTTTACGTTGGAATTATATTGATATACATAGTAATAGATATTATCTTCTGTAAATAATTATTATACTCCTGGGGTAGTTTCCCACTGTTTGGTCTGAAAGGGGCAGGGATTGACTAGATCATTAAATATTCCATTCATCTTATGATTGAAAGCTGCCCTTGTATCAAAAGCAAAGATTTATAGAGAAGCTAGGAATTCTCTGATGTAGAAGGATTAAAAATTTTCACAGTCCACGGTCCTTAGCAGACCACAGTAGGACCTGGGACTCATCTAAGACTGAGTGAGTGCATACCCTAAAAAAAACTGGGAAGTAGAAGTTAGTGCTCCATTACAGTTGCCATAATCCAAATTTGTATCAAACAGTATCAAATCCAGAGAGACATGACATCAACTACTTAGAATTCATTCAGAAAGTAGGATTTCTGATAGGGAAGTAAAAGGAAAAAGGCAAACTAAGTATGAAATCAATAAAATAAAATAATTATACATATGCTGACCTCAGCATTGAACCCGAGAGTCTGAAATGGGCCTGCCCCCGCTCCAAGAATAAAAGCTCCAGGAAGCTTGATTTCTTTTGCAATCTTATTTAGATCATAGACCTATATAAGAGGAAAAATATTTAAATCATAACAGATAAATTACTTGGTTTACTTTTTATCACTGAGTCCAATAACACTTCTTTGCCATACTGGTCATTAGATCTGATAATAAGAAGAAAGAATCAACCCAACCTCTACAATCTTCAAGTGAATGTGAAAAGTAAAAGTACACTTACTTTGTTTCTATTTACAAGAGGCAATAAGTAAGGCACACCTCCTACTTCTGCAATTCTAGTTTTCCCACAGATGCCTAAAAAAAAAAGCCATCTTAAAAATAGGTAAACATCTAACTTAAGTACTATATAATGCCAGAAGAAACTAATTTATTAAGAGTATATAACTTCTGTTCTCATAGTATTACAAATAGTAGGGGTTGGAAGATGTAAGTAGCTAGGATCCATGTCCTAGTCTAACTACCTGTGACTGATATTGTCATAACCAAGCATGATTTGATATAGTTGGTAGCATAAAGGTAATAGGAAGTTGATGATGGGGCAAGGGCTAGAATTGGGGCCAAAGTTTGGATTTGATGAGGTTTCTATAATTTCTAGTCTATAATTATTCCTTTAAAACTTTATTTCTTTGGGGGTACAGAGGAGTTTAGCTAAAATTGTATTTTAAGTTAAAATACTTTGCTGTGGTAGAATATAAATAACATTGATTCTTTTAGAAATCCATATTGGGAAATCCTCTTGTCAAAGTTGTTTTTTCCTAAGGTTTTTAAATAATACTAACAAGTAATTAACGGTAACTTCAGATGTGAGAAACTTTCTACTTAAATTTTTAATTAATATCACAGGTACAGCTAGACACAATTTGGGAGAAGGCATTATTTTTAATGAAGAGTGGAAAATAATTACCTTTTGTTTGAGAAAAAGTAGTCTTGTCAGTTTCATACTAACATCATTACACAGTAGATATAATTGCTCTATTTCTTCAGCTATGTAGAGGGTAGATGTACAAAATTCTTTTAGGTCCTATTTATAATTAAGGATTTTGGAAATGTTTTATATGGGAACAGCAGAAATTACACATAGATAAGACTCTTTCTCATAAGTGACAGTAACGCTAGAATTTAAAGAAACCACAGGAGGACTATTTGAGTAGTCCAGGAAAAAGACAAGTAATGAGCTAAAAATGGTGACTTGTAGAGATGGAGAAGAGGAAATTAAGAAAAAGAACAATGAAAGAATAGCAACTATGGTGAAATAGAGTTAAATTTTAGACATGTTGACCTTGTTATCTTTAGCATATATGGGTGGAGATGTCCTGTAGATAGCTGGAATTCCTGATCTACAGCTAAGACAAAAAGAGATCTAGGTGAGATATACAGATTTCAAATTTGTTGCATCCAAACAGTAATTAAAACCACAGGAGTAGGTGGAAAAACCCAGAGAGATTGTACCGAGTAAGAGGAGGCTGAGGAAAGAATTCTGGAAAACATCAAAATTTAAGAGCCTAATAGAAAGAGAAAGAAATCAGGAAAAAAGAAGGGGGATAAAACAGAGAGAGGAAAGGCACCAAGGAAGAAGAGGCAAAAGAAGAAAGAAAAGAGGAGAACCAAGGGGAGAGTTAGAATGTCAAGTAGCAGTGGCCAAACAGTATGAAATGTGTAGAGATCAAATAATACTAGTAAATACACCAAGGTCACTGGAGATTTGAGCAAGACCAGTTCATGTAGAAGAGCCTAACTATGTTTATGAAAGGTCATACATATATAAATATACATTCTGGTTTCCTTAGTATTTCAATTTAAAGACTCACAAATTATTGACCAGAAACTCTTTTTCAAAGTATAACCCTTTGTATGACAGAATTAAGAATTCACATTTTTTCTTTTTCCTTGTACCCTCTGTTTTCTGTTTTTTCATTTTATTGTAATCATTGATTTAATTATTTTTAATTAGGGAGAATATAATTGGAAGAAACATAGTTATAAAAAAGCATTTGCTAAATGCTTTCAAGGTGTGAAGAGAAACTGCCATCTGGCACACAAAATTTCTAGAATTTAGAGGTCTAGTTAAAAATCAAAGACTTTAAACTGGAAAGACCACCAAAAGAACATTTAAACCCTCCCTCAGCCCCGTGAAGCCCATGTACATTGATTAGCTTGGGTAATGAAATGAATGACAGAGAAAGAACGAGAGCCTAGGTCTTTCATGTAAAACTGCTCTTTAACAAAGATGTCAATTATATAATAAAAGAGTGAATGAGTGTGAGTGTTTATCTACAAATTTTGGACTTTAGAAGCAGACCTAGATTTGTATCTTCATGATTCACACTGAGCTTACTTAGCCTCTCTGAGTTTCAGATTTCACGTCTATAAACAGGGGCTACTTACCTTGCAATGTTAATTTTAAAAATTAAGACATCAAATATAGGTATCATACTATCTGACAAATTATATTTACTCAGCCAATATTAATTTCCCTTTAATAATTAAATTAAGTATTCCTTTCACTTTAAACATTGGCTGGATGATCACTTGGCAAATTTGTTAAAAGGATATAAATATTTAATAGAGTATTCAAATACAAGGCTTTTAGATCCCTTCACATCTTGAATAAGTAAAAACAAAAATTAAAATAAGTTTACTTAACGGTCACTTGAGCAATTAAAAAACAAAACTCATGTAATAGCAAGGATTCTAGTCTATTGCACAATATTTTTCCCACAAGGATACAAAATGACATTTGACCAATATAAGAAAACAGCACAGAAATTAAGTATAATTTAATTTAAGAGTTGGGACAATATTCTTTATTTGTAGATAATTTAAGATAGTCCTTAAAAATAATTCTGGTTTCAGAAAAATATTAGAACTGAAAAACAAAAGCTAATTGCAAAAATTGCTTACCTTTCACAGGAAAGGTAAATGGCTCTTTAGTCAAATCAGGGCAATCAACTACAGAAACCTGGACGTCAGCAAAGTTATCCTTTAGTCCCTTCTGTAGAACTAATAAAACAAGGAAAACGATTATTTAACATCAGGTAAAAATCTGTCCCCACATAGCAAATCTTCCCTCAACATTTCTGTGTCATATTTCCAACCTAAACTTTTGTAATTAAAAGAGAGGGAACTGGTGTTATTAATGAATATAATTTGACGTCAGACACATAATCACAAGACATGTAGACTAAAACACATAAATATTAGTATTTATATCATTGTAATTATAAACCACTAAAGATAAACACTGCACTCAGTGAAAACTACATTTCTTTGGGGGAGAAGATTCCAAATATCTATTTAAATGGAAATATTTAAAGTGCTAGAAAGTAATCGATTACATGCAACAACTTCCTTTAAGCTTACAGACAAAAACAGGCAGCTATTCTAATCTAAGGTGACAGAACAGTGGCTACCTCTTGGGGTATAGATATTGACTGGGAAAGTGCATGAAGGAGCCTTCTGGGATGCTGTAAATATTTTATACTTGATCTGGATGGCAGTGACATGCGTATAAACATGTTAACATTCATCAAGCTGTACATTTAAGATTAGTGTACTTTAATACAGATATGTTATAACTCAGTAAAAAAGTAAAAAAACATGTCTCAAAGTTATAAATCTAAGAGCAACGTACTTTTAAGGATGACAGTTCTTATAAAAATTCTTTGACAGTGGCATCAGCTATTAGTTTGTCTTGTAGAATCTCTAAAAACATGAAATTATCCAAAATCTAGCTTTAGCTGTCCTGTCATTATCAGGGAATACAGAAAGACTGATAGAAAAATCCAAGAAAATAAGTACCAATACAAATTGTTTATGAGCTGCCATTCAATTTAGGAAAAAATAGGAAGGTTGTAAGAGAGCCATAATCAAGGCATGAGTACACTTCTTGACTTAAGCCTTATCAGGAAGACAGACGAACTACCAGGACAGATACACGTTGAGAAGGGAAGGTTTTATAGTTACTATCAGAATAGAAACAAAAGGCTGTCATACAAATGTTAGTATTCTGATAGGCCACATAGTTTTGGGTTAGTACTATTCCTGGCTTCATCGTCCTATTTTTCTTTTCTTTTTTTTTTATGTCCCCTCCTAATTAGTCTTGTGAAGGAACCTTAAATTCTTGTTTGAACAAGGTGAAATACATAAAAATATACAAAGAAATATAAGCAAGTTCACTGGCAGTCTAGCATATCAAGAGAGAGGAAAAAGTCGTATATGGGAATATGATAAATACACCACAGTAGATTGTATATTTAAAAATATTATAACCGGTAACAAGTTAATAAAGCAAAATTGTGCATCTCAGCATCACACATGATTTAAATCTTGGATTCCTATAGTTTCATTCTGTAAAGTTAGTATACTATAAAGAATCTTAAATGGTTTAGTTTCTTTGGAGGGGCAGAATTTTGGGCTCTCAATAAAAATAGTACAGAACAGATACTGAAAAGGAAAATGAGTTCTATATTGAAAGTACTATTACATAAATGAAATCTTAGCATATATTTATTTTTATTTTTTTCCTTAGAATAATTAAAAAAATTCAAAGTTAGTCTACAGCCATGCCACCCTGAACAAGCCCGATCCTGTCTGATCTCAGAAGCTAAGCAGGGGTGGGCCTGGTTAGTATTTGGATGGGAGACCACCGTGTCAGCTTACAATCCCTTATTTTTTATTTTTTTACGCCTACCAGATGCTGTAGGCATAAAAAATAAAAAATAAGGGATTGTAAGCTGACACGGTCCTTGCAATCTGTGAAGTCAACCAGATTCCTTCAGCTATAAAATAATAAGTAAGTAAGTAAATAAATAAAGCAAAGTTAGCATCGTATTTACCTCCAGCAAGCTCCTCTAGACTCGGCACATGAAAAGAATACTCGGCACAGGCCATTTTCTTTCTTCTTTAGGTGCGAGACTGTACAAATAAAACTACTGTAGGTTAATTATCACAGGAGTTCAAAGTGCACCAAACATGAACAGTTGCTGTTGTGGATATGAACATTAGAGTTCATATCTAAAGAAGGCAGAAGGGATTAAAGTTCTTATAGTGCTGGTAGAAAAAAAAGAAAAAGAAGGCAAAAGGGCATTGGGTTTCTGTCTTTACAGAAAGGCAACCACAATTTATAGTATTTAATATTTCAGGTGAGAAAATGCCTAGGTAACCTCTTTTAATACTTAAGTCTTATTTTTTTGTTTTTATTTTTTTCAGTTTGTTAAAATTTTATTAGTAATTTTACACCTATGCTCATAAATGAAATTGATTTAAAATGAGCATATTGAAATCCTATTTTGTTCATTTTTAAATTTTTTATTTTTCAATTACAGTTGACATTCAATATTATTTTATATTAGTTTCAGGTGTGTAGCATTAGACATTTATACAATTTCGATGTGATCCCCCTGATTAGTACTCACCTGGCACTATACATAGTTATTACAATGTTATTGTTATATTCCCTATGCTGTACTTCACATCCCCGTGTTTATTTTGTAATTGCCAATTTATACTTCTTAATCTTCTCACCTTTTTCACCCAGTCCCCAACCCCTCTCCCATCTGGCAACCATCAGTTTGTTCTTTGTATCTAGGAGTCTGTTTTTGTTTATTTTGTTCTTCAGATTCCACTTATGTTCATATGGTATCTGTCTCTCTAATACTGATATTTTAAATAGTTGACATTTAAAATAGACAGGAAATTGCAAACCAAGAGGCAACATGGTCCATTAGTATTATATCTAGATTGAACACGGAATTTTCTAATGGTTGGTCTAAGGAATATACTGAGGCAAAAAGTAGTTAACAGTATAGGACACTCAAGTACTTTTATAATAAATGATTTGTGTATTCTAGACTGTATTTGACATTTAGGCTAAAAATTAAATGTTTCTTAGACTTACAAAAGAAAATTTAAATTACTAAGAGAAATGGAAACTTCTATAAATGATTAGGTTTTAAAATCCAAATTACTTTCATTTACAAATAAACATATTTTCTTGGTAAGCATCTTTAATATTCAATTATTCTGATAACCTAAACAATTATAATATTTAAAAAATATATGCTAAGTATATTTTACAATAAGTAGGCAAGTACACACAGAAATTAGTATCTTACCTTTTATTCACAGGACGGCGTGCACAAGCAGAGGGAGATAAAATGAAGACAAAGAGAAAAAAACCCAAACAAAAGTAATAAGATGGGCAGGGAATCCTATTCTAGGCCATTTGCAACGAGGAATAAAGGCAAAACTCCTGAGGGTGCCTCTAAGAACACTGTTGGAGTTCTCATTAAAATTGTTAATGGAAAACTTCATTAATCTGAATAGTCTTTGGTACATGGCTACTTAGTATGCAATGGAAAAATTCTTTGAAAAAAAGTTTCTTTTTAACTTTTCCAAAGATTCACAGGTTTCTTAGAAACTCGATTTTTAGTTTTGAGGATAATTTCAAACAATCCATCTCCCACAAACATGCTATTGCATACATTTAGGACCTGACATTTACTTTAGTACTTTATGCATATTAATTAAAGGATACTAAATGTTGGAATTTGATAATCTGGTCTCCCAAATAAAATATAAACTGTTGATAATAGGCCTTAAGTCCTATATAATCTTAATTCAGTTATCTCAAACATATTTTTGAATTGAATAATCTATAATTGTTCAGGAATTAGACATTTTAACTTTTTTAAAAAATAATTTCAGATGGACAGAAAATACATACCAATAATTTCTGTATACTCTACACCTAGATTTTCCAAGTGTTAACATCTTATATTTTTGTTATCACAAACCAGCAAGTACTAATTAAGAACTTAAAATGTGCTCAATGAATACTAGATTTATTTATAATAAAGATAATACAAGCACTCCAAGTATTTGTTTACACTAGAAATAATAAAGACTCAAGTTTAAATTCAAATACAATCCTAATTTTACACCATTTGCTATCTTTAAAAGAAGGTCAGTTTTGTTTTGTTTTTTTCTTTCCCCACCAAGACAGAAACAAAATCCAACCCTGGGAGGCTATAACCTGAATAATTGTTTTAGATATATAGAACTTCAGGCAGGCCAGCAGCCCAGAAGGCTGTGTATGTATAAGTGTGTTTAAGTGGGAGGGAGGAGGTTGCAGTAATGAGAGAACAGGATTAGAAAGGTTCTACTATAAACTCAGAGTGGTCCCAAGAGGACAGCTTTGGGCATACAATATTTATCCTTCAGATTCCATTGCTGGGATTCAGTTGCCCAGTAGTGGGGTGCAGAGAAGGGAAAAATAGAAAGAGGCAGTTGGATAGGCATAGCTGCAGAAAGAACACCTAAAGGGATGAACCAACTATGGCAACCAAGCTGATAACTATTAATTGCATATTATGTACCAGACACTGTGTTCAGGCACTTTACAGACATTCTCTCAAACCTCTCACAACATAGATATTACCCGCATTTCGTAAAAGAAGAAATCAGCTACAGAGAATACATGATTGACTTGAGATCACCATTAAGTGGCAGAAACAGAATTCAAACCAAATCTAGCCCAGCGCAAAGCCGGAACTCATCACATACAATGTGGATTAACTGGTGAAGGAATGAGACATCTCAGTTCACATTAGGGAAGAATTTGTAGAGCAATCTTACAGCACCTGTGATCATGTTTACTTTGCTTTTCCCCCTAGACTGTGATTTCTGAAGATAAGGCTGTTTCTCATATATGTCTTCTGTTAAAGAACAAAAATCAACCAAGTAAATTTGAGGATCTAATTAGCTTTATTAAGTGATTCATGAAATAGGCAGCATCCTATCCAGTAAGTAGATGGGCCCTCCCATGGATTGTACAAAATGGAAGGTTTTTATAGGAAGAAGGGAATGTCAAGCAAGTTATTAGCAAAAGAAAAAAGATTCTTTTTAGGCCAGGTCATCTTTTTTTAGGCTAGGGAATGGCAGGGGTTTTATCAAACAGATTACCTCACTAGTTTTAATCAGGATATTCTGAACTGATTGGCTTAAAATTCTACTCCTGGATGAGGCTGAAACTGCAATTAGGTTTGTTATTTATTAAGTTTTGATTTGGTGACTGGGCTTAGCAAAAGTGACTCCATTCTGTCCAGTTGTTTCTTTTTATTAACATTTCAAAGTACCTAGCAAACAATGGACACTAGTTTAGCCTTAATTATTTATGGAACATTTACAATATACCAGACTCAAGGCTCTGGGATAGGACTGGCTTCATGGGTATGCAACTAGTATAGTTACTCAAGGCCATATGCTCAAAATAGAACTTGGTTTAATGCTCTGCTGTCACTATCTTGAAGTTCTTAATTTTATATGTGAACTATTGTTTAAGACCAGTAGTGTGCTGGCTGGAAAATTACTGCTTGGCTATCACCCATGGGAACATAGGTTATCACCGAAGGGAACATAACATTCTAATAATAAGCTTTCTGCTTCTGGACCCCCACTTGCACAACCAACCTGTAGGTTGACAGTAAATAGAAGAAAAATAGACTTTTGTGTTCAGACAGAATGAGGAATGGGGTTTAGGGCTTAAAAACTCTGTACCTCTACATTTCGGGGCTACTTAATTTGGGGTCTGCGTACCCCTGGCAGACCCAGCTGGCTGAATAAAGAGTGTGTTTCCTATAACTCACTGATTTCTGGTGGTCCATGTGTCTATCGGGGGCTGGCGGCTACAACAGTAGGACTGGAGCAAGGAATGAGAGGAGAGAGGCACAATACGCACGCCGCCCACCATTCCTAACTACCCCCATTCACATAAAGTATTTGTGAAGCCATGAACATGGCACTGAGTAAGACATGTGATGCCTGGAGCTTAAGATAGTTCATAGACTGAAAATGCCTACAGGATTAGACTTTTTATGCATGGACTTGTTCAATATTTGGAGCAAAACTGAAGAAAACAGATTACTTCCATGTCTGTCTAATCCTGAGATGACACTAACTATAAACTAAGATTAGACAGCTTTACTGGTTTATCATATAATACAAGTGGTCTGAAAGTGGACAAATCAAACAAGCTCATTCCTTTTTATAACTACTTTGGGGAAGAAACCCCACTAAAACTAAGCTAGTTTAAACAGTTTCACGTAAACACTCAATTACTGTTCAGGGACCTGGGCGGGGGGTGAGTGGGGGGGGCAGAAAAAAATTTGTACCGTGATATATTAACGAACTCCTGAAAGGTTGACTTTCAGTTTGGAGTGAAAGAGTTAGATAACATAAGTCCAAATGTGGAGAGAGGAATTGAGTGTCCAATGAAGTAACATTGGCTTCCAGCACAAAGGTTACATTTTTTGAGTGACAGTCAAAACATGATCCTTTTACAATTTAACACAGAAGAGATTTAAAAAAAAAAAATTTTTTTTATGGTGACATTGGTTAATGACATCCAATAAGTTTCAGGTGTACAATTTAACAGTAAGGCTTGTATATTATTGCATTGTGTTCACCTCCTCTTGTTAGATTTCTTTCTGTCACCACATATTTGATCCCTTTTACCTCATTTACCTCCCTCCTCCCACAGAAGAGATTTTGGAAGACAAAGGTAGACATAATATGACAAAACACACCCCGCCACTTCCCCCGCCCCCCAACTTAGTGAGAGACCACCGGAAACAAATCAGGCTGAGTGACTGTTTCATCGCAGTTCACATCTATTCCGTTCACTTGATCCCACAATTTCTTTTTGTCTTTTGCCGAAATTTTCTTGGCTATTCCACTTACCTAGTCCGTTAGGGAAGCCTGCACCTGAGTCCTTTGCCCTGTCGACCTCGCCTCCTCTGGGTTAGGGAATTCAAACTCCGCCCACTTCCAGTCGCTCCTCCCTTCGCGGTGATCAAGATGGAACCTCCTTCCCCTCTTTCTCTCCGGAGCTAAGTTGTTATCGCGAGATTTCGGCCCCACTATTAGCTGTGTAGTGCGTTTGGCCCATCCTTTTCTTCCGCTCAGTGGCAGAGGTAAGCTGTTCTCGGCGTGTGGGAATGCAGAGGTTGGGAGGTTGCGAGCGTGCAGGTTACATACTTTCGAGTCCTGGGTAACCGGCAGCGAGTATGCATTTGAGCCCGGTACCGAGCCGGCGCTTGTTGGTTCTAGCCGTCTGTCACCCTGGATGAGGAAGGGAGAGGACCTGCCGCCCGGGCATGGTGGGTCTGGAAGGGGTTGCTCGTCTAGCTTTCCCCCGGGCTTTCTTGGGAGGATCGAGCCGAGGAATTCAGGCCCTAAGGATGGAGGGCTCACGGTTGTTGTTGGCTTGGGGTCTAGACGTTGGACTGCGGCCCACACATATTTGATTATAGTGTGTGCGTGATCCACTGTGTCTGAGTTGTAGATATCAAAATGTATATAAACAAGTACAGATATTTTGAGTTGATAAGTGCGAGGTAACAATTACGCCATTTTCCATGCATGGAAAGATTAGGTGCTTCTTGGAGACACCCGCCCCAAGGTCACACGTGGTGTTTGAGAGGTATTGTTAGCACTGGTTAAGAGCACTATCTGGCCATGTGGCCTCATCGTAGAATCCCAGAATAGGAAGCGACAGTTGGGTAGGAATGCTTTCCAAAGAAGTTTCGAAAGTGACTTTTGAGTTTGTTCTTTGGTAATGTTCTAATTTATTTTAAAAATCTCACTTCAGGAATACCAGCAGCAAATGGATTCAATTTTGTTGAATTTCGTTTTTGAGCAGTTAATTCCATGACTTAGATTGTGCATTTAAACATAATAGAACCATGAAATTACTACGTGGGTCTATTGGACATTTTGCAAATCTAGAATCTGTATGACCGTATTGATTTCTTGTATTTGAACTATTTTGCTATTCTAACATTTCCTTTCATCTTTACTCGTTTGTCATTCCCAAGTATGAACAATACAAAAGTGGAAGAATGATAGATAGTATCCCTGATAACGGAGATTCGATATTAAATGAAGATGGCGTCTTTTTAAAAATTATTTTGCTCAACCTATTGTAAAATCTTCAAAGGAGATTTTTTAAAAAGAAGACAAAGGGCATCATTGTTACTGTCTGTTAGGCTTTCATTGAAAATTTTGAGAATTCAGGACTTTTAAATTAATACCCCTAATGGCAAAGAGGTAATATGCCAAATAAGTGGTTTCACAGTAATTTTGATGAATCAGTATGAATGGGAAGAGACCGTAAATAAAAACACCAGGCCAGGAGTTTAAAATGGTGTGTTAGATTTAGATAGTAAGTTGTGATGATTTTTTTTTCTGGGTATACTGAGGCTACGCCCTGCCTCCTGGCTTTGTAAGTTTTTTCTAAAGATTCCCATTTGCTCTTGAAAAATGGTTTCGGGGCCATTAATTGTACATTAGCAATTGCCCATTACTATATGGCTAATAAAATTATATTTTACTGTTAATGGAAAGATATATGATATTTTTAAGAATGATGGTAATTTCCTAGACTTGTTTCATTGGATAGCTTTAGAGGTACAACTGAAAGACAATTTGAATAAAATTTCTAGATTTTGGAGTTTATCTGAAGTAGATAGTTCCTGCATGAAAATAAATGATTTTGCTTTGATTTTACATATCATGATATAATCTGACTATATTGAATTTTATATACCAGCTGTTTGTGCTGGTATTTACTTGTTCAGAGAAATTACATATTTACTGTCTTTTGTATTGCAGAAATTTGGTTAAAGAAAAGTGACAAAAAACAATTTTAAGTAGGACTTGAAGAATACAAATCAGGAATGGATTCTCTCCACTATGTAACAGCATCTGATTCAGCTATGGAAATTGATAATCAAAGGTAAGTGCATTTTTTTTGTATTAACAGCAACCACCAGGTTTTTACTAGAAAACACTAGATTCCATGATGTTTACTGTATTTGAATTACCGGGAAAGCATCAATCATCGTAGATGAGTTTTCAGAGTATTTTCCAAGAATGAGGAAGGAAAAGAAAAACCTGTTTTACAGACCTTCAAAGTTTACCTGCTTGTATAGTTAATAGTGGGACAGATTTACTTAACCCGAGGAGACGAGTATATTCTCTGGGCCGACTTGGTATCTCTTAACTAAATCACCCTAATTTCATAACAAGAAAATGGACATCAGTGAGGCATCTTACTTAAAAATCAGCTTGCTCTGATATTCCATTATCAAGGATGCCGACTTATGCATGTGATGGAGGTATCCTTAACTCATCCATTAATCTCACTGGGAAATCAAACCAGCATTTCTAATATACTCACACAAAATGTCTACTAGGCAACTCTTGTTTTATTTAAAGAGGAGCCTCTAGCAGTGAACAAGACTACCTGTACGGAACTTGTATTTACTTTGGAAGATTAGTATTTGGTGAACACAGGCAGTTTTGGCTATCTTGGGTAGAATGGTCAGAACTAAGTGGTGAACTAGTACTGAGCCTATCTTTTTAAAAATTGTCCTGAGCTTGTTTTCCTGCTTTGGTGAAATAAAGGTACTGGTAAGCAACATTCTGTTATATTAAGAGGATGCCATTAAGTTTCCCTTTTTTTTTTTTTTTTTGTTAAACATTTACTAGCACACACTAGTTGTAGTGTCATGATATCATCTACTTAGTTTGAAATATCTTTTTAAACTTGTGGCTTTTGTCTTGTTAGTGAGTTGAAAATTTTTTACATATTCTAGATACCAGTCTTTTATAGATATGTTTTGCAAATATTTTCTCCCAGTCTGTGGCTTATTTTTGTACTTTCTTGGTATCTTTTGAAGGGCAAAAGGCTTTAATTTTGATGAACTGCAGTTTACCTTTTTTTTTTTTTTTTTTTTTCTCTAGTGATAATTCTTCCTCTGGTAGCAGCTTATTTAAAACTCAGTGTGTTCCTTACTCACCTAAACAGAGGCAGAGAAACCCTATTAGAAAATTTGTTCATTCACCTGAAAGAGTTCAAGCGAGAGATTCATCTAGTGACTCATCTTTTGAACCAAGACCATTGACTTTAAAAGCTATTTTTGAAAGGTTGAAGAAAAAGAAACGTAAAAAGAGAAAGTATAAGCCAACAGGAAGACCCAGGGGAAGACCAAAAGGAAAGAAAAACACTAAAAAGTCACAAATAAATGAACAATTAAAAGATAAAGGGCCTGGGTTCCCATTTTTAGAATCAGAGAATGGAAGAAAACCATTACCTTGGAGGAAAATTTTAACTTTTGAGGTGAGTCAGTTTTTTATATATATGGATATAACATAGCTGAAGTGCCTAAAATGATTTGTTGGTCACTTGTAGAATTTAGCTGTACCTGACTTGTTGCCACTTAAAAACCACCCCATCCTTCACCCTAAACTTCATTTGGGCTTCTGGGAGGAATCTTCACTGGTATATTCAGTGACTATCTGTATGTGAAGTGCTCCAAGGCTGTTTATATAAAATTCCTTGATCTCATCTTATCAGGTTTTTAACATCCCTAAAACCCAAATGGTTCTCAGTTGTAATCTAGATCAAACCCACACCTGCCTTTCCTGTTCAGTGACTTTGGTAGATTTTATTCTCTTACAGATATTGAGTATTCAATTTCTAACAGAATTGCCTAGTAAATACCGTAATATTTATCAGTATGCTCTCAAATATTTGAATTAATGTTTGTAGTTAATTTATAATCCCTTGATATAGAATCTGATTTACTTGAAGGGATTAATACTCACTAACTTTTTATGTTTTAATGTGTTTATAAAACATTAGAAATTTCTCTCCGCATTTAAGTGTCTTCAGTATCAGTAATTTCCAAACAACACAAAATTTGTGCTTCAGTTTTTCTTGGTACCAACTTGTTTGCTAACTTGTTAGGTAGCAGTGAATTCTTTTTACAGCCAGCATTACACATATATTAATATGTTACCTGTGAGCCATTTATGGCAAAAGTAAAATCAAGATCACCAAGAGTTCTTGGTAAGGAGCTCCTTGCCATTTTGGAACACAGACACCTGCTGAGTGGAGAAAATTTTACTTTATAAAGCCATGACCTAAAATTGTGGTGTTTTTGACATATAGCAAGCAGTGGCAAGAGGATTTTTCAACTACCTTGAAAAACTGAAGTATGAATACCACCTGAAGGAATCCTTGAAACAGATGAATGTTGGTGAAGATTTAGAAAAAGAAGACCTTGATAGTCGTAGATATAAATACTTGGATGATGATGGATCTATCTCTCCTATTGAAGAGTCAGTGTAAGTTTAATCATGTGAATTAATTTTAGTCATAGATCTTAACAAGTGGTTTTAACTTTTAATTGCTCCATATTATGCTAGCAATTTTTTTATACTTTAAGTGATGTGAGCACAGGATCAATAGGCCATATGGGTTATTACAGTTGAGCTCTGTGTTTGGCACATGACATTCATTTTGGGGTGTTATATATGACAACATAATTTTTCTCCTTGACTAGTATTGCTTCAGTAGTATGTCATGACAGTATACTACTAATTGGGTTATAGATTCTGTCATCTGACTGATGGTGTATTTAACGTTACAGAGGAGAAGATGAGGTTGCAACCAATCTTGAACATGATGATGACTGTGATATCAAATTGGTGGTAAGTGACATTTTTGTCTCAGATTATTTTGGAAGGGCAGCAGGTGATGCCAGAGAAATTTTATCCATTCTTACAGTCTGTTTAATTTTTGAAAGGCTTAATGCTTTCGGTGCAGGAAATGCAAGGATTATGATTTTTTTCATAGTTGATGAGAACATGGACTTTACAGTAGTAGTGTTTTAATATGTGGTATTATTACTAGAATATCGAATAAGAAAATAAAGAAGTTAACTTGGATTTTTAACATCTAGCTAGATGTAGTCTCCAGGTTATTTGAAGTAACCTAGAGCTCAGTTATGTGTAATTACTGAAGCAATAAAGTTTTAGTTATTGCTTAAATCTTCATATTTTTATGCAGGAGGAGAATTATTTCATAATAAATTCTGAATTACCAAAGAAGATGAATGTATATTTAGACCAAGAACATACTAAAGAAGCTGCTTTGTTTAAAAAGAGAGTATCAAAGTTAAAAAACATTGGACAGAAGACAGAATGGCCTGAAAAGGAGATAGGAATATGAATGTCAAACAGGTAAAAATAGAGAAAAAGAAACTTTACAGAAGGAAAGTAAAGATAATGTGCCTATATGTCAGTGCAGTGATTAAAAAAAAAAAAAAAATCCTAAGGAGAAAATAAAGAGCCTCGTAACATTGTGACAAACTGCTAAAGAATACAAATTATCCGAAAAAGAAAAACAAAAATTAAATGGTAAAATTATGTATGTACAAAAACGTGAGGCTTTCATAGAAATAATCACTTGCTAATAAATGGGGTTCTACTGTTTTTGCCTGTACTTATTTTATTTCAGGGTAAGAAAGCTTAAACATGTCATTTGAGCATTGAATCAAAGTAGAGATTATATTCCTTAAAAGAATTTTACAGTAATCACTAATGATTGACAACCAACCACCTTCTTAGGATCTCTGAAACCCCCTACTATATAGGGGTTTTTATCACTGTTTTTTTCAGACAGGTGACCTTTATTGTCAAATGTTTAGTACTGTAATAAGAATTTAACAAATTTCCCTTTTTAACTGCAGGTAACATTTCAACTATCACTTTGTCACTACTGTATATTGCTGATTATTTCACTGTATATGCTGCATTTTAGGATAGCACTTGTATTTGTTTTTGTTTAATTTGTGGACAAAGACTTATAGACAGGTGCGAAAAATAAATCCTCTTTTGCAACCCAGAGCTCATCATTCAGTATGAGTTTTGATACATATAAGAAGGAACATGATACCTAAAACAAATTCAAGTGATAGGATATAAGTAAACATAAAGTTTGGTTCCAGAACTGTTGAGTTGATCATTGCAAAGCACAGGATATAAGGGAAATCTCACTTATGTTGATTGAGTTCTCTAATTTTAATGTTGATGATACAAAAGATGGCTTCTTTTTTTATTAGGGTTTTATTTTGAGAACACAATGTCTGGACTTAAAGGTATGTCTTAAGCTTTAGGTGACTTTCGATCAGATTTGTTTAAATGTAGCAAATTATAATCTAAACCTTAAACCTCCATAGTTTTCATTATTAAAAGATATTTTTGCCAACTTTTAATTTGTTTATGGCATGATACCACAAAATTAATATTAGTCATATATTTTATAGTGATATTACATCAGCTTCACTTTACTTGCAAGACAGGGTTTCAAAACTAAGTTAGGCTATAGCAATAACCAGAATCTTGGATATCCCCACTCAAGCATATATAACATTTTTAATGCCTAATACAAATTGAGGTAGGTCTAATATTGTAATGCTAGAAATGACTGCATAGAACATAAGATTTCATAAGTAGGCAAAAATTCAGTTAATGTAAAATTTTTGCTGTGTCTTTGGAATTTCATAGGCAAAACACTGCAGTATTGTGGTGTTAAAGTTCATAAAAATCAACGCTTCGATTTATACATGGAAATCTTTTGAATTATCTATAGTAGCTTGGCACTTTTCCTTTTTGTTGTCAGTATACTCTAAGCAGTATTGTTAGTCTTTGTGATTAATTTATGAATGATTAGTTTAAATAGAATGTTTGACTGCACAATTTCGAACTCATTGAAAAGGCTGGAGCAGATCGCAGTTCTGATGTCTTCCAAGTGTAAATAATGGTTGAGGTCTATCCCGATGGGGCTTTTTCTGTAGACCTACATCGTTGGAAACGCCTCATAGAGTAAATATGTGCTTTCCTTTCCTCACAGAACTATATGTTAGATCTGTGGGAAGGAACTACATGACAGCTGCTAAAACTATGAAAGGTGTAACAGGTAATTTTTTTTTTAATTTTAGGTTTTGATAGATATCAATGATCCTGTACTATTCTAGGGTGTGATAGCTTAGGTAAGTTTTGATTGGTGACAGTAATCTTGTGGTGCCACTGCAGTTCAGATGATGAATTTAACTGTTCAACTGCTGAGTGATACAGACATGAACTAAAACTTAATTCTGACAGAGCTGAATATAGCTCTTCATAGGTTTTAGTTTTTAATTACACTTGTCAATCTTTTAACTTGGTATTTTCTCTGTAGGAGTGAATATGATTTGAACTTAATCATGTTTAGAGGTAAGTGGAATGTTTAATGTCTACTGAAATTTAAGGATTCAAAGTCCTGAAAAAAATGTAAATTGAGTGCCATTAAGTCTTCACTTAACATTATTAATAGGTTCTAAAACTTTAAGTAGATGTATAAGAAAGCCAGTTTTACCATAGGCTGATTGATATAAACCAGAGATAAGTTCCTATGGCTTCTCATCGCCATTAAAGCATTGAACCAAAGGACGTTATGCGAGCACCTTTTGTACAGGATTCCATTATTGTTGTGACTAGTAATTATTTAGGTATAAAACAAAATTGTCAAGATTTTAGCAAGAGTATTTTCCATAATAATTTACTTATATACAGAATAGGAAAAATGAGACTGCATGTCTAGGGCTACCAAATGAAAGTGCCATTTTGCACTTTTATTAAGGTGACAATTTGATATGGTTTATCCTAATAACATGTATACTTGGACACATTAAAGTAGCGAAGGAATTAAAATTTTGAGCAACTGTGATCTTCATTTCTAGTGCAAAGAGAAAAAACATCACCAGCTTTATAGTTCATAATGCAGTTAATGTGAAATGACAGGAATTAAAAGGTCAGATTATTTTATCTGTTAAATGAAGTTAAAATTTTTAGAGATTTGTGAAAGTAGGTTTTCTCAGATAATAGCATTGCATACTTGAAGTAGAGGTGTTTATAGTTCAGGCACAATTGCACTGCATGGTATCTGCATTCAGCAGTTTGTTCCTGCTGGGTGTTCAAAGGACAGTGCAATATAAATTCAGTATCTGGCATCGTTGGTTTTCTTGTCTTCGTGCATGTTAAACCTGGTATTTTTATTGATACAGTATTCCTATAGTTTCTTCTACTGTTCAGTTTGACGTAATCTTCATTCGGTGGGAGCTAATGCTTATCTTTTTTTAGGGTGTCTGAATGAAATTGAGAACTAAGCATATCCATCTACTGTGACCCTAATCATGTAAGGCTTTCTATTCCTGTTGCTTCTTGGAGCTTCTTTTCTTTATTGCTAGCATGTCAGCAGAAACTTCTATATGGATGTAGAAGCCTTTTGTTTTGCATAGTGTACATATAAGCTTGAGAGAAACTTATAAAAAGCCTCATTCTAGGTGAAAATGGGCACTGTTCTTCATGGTGTCCAGAAATAATTAATGTGGCTATATTGAGACACAGGTTATGCTTCCATCACAGTAAGTTTATTGCAGTGATGACAATGAGACCTGTAACATTTTTTGCTAGAATCAATGAGTAAAAGCTGGATATAATACTTAGAGGCCGTTAAGGAATAATATAGTTTAGATAATTTGCCAAAATGGCAATGTACTTATAATTTTAACTTCTAGGGCCCTGAAGTAAACTGAAGAGGTTGAGTCCCAATGACTACAGGTAACATTTTATTCCCTCATTCCTAGTTTATATGAGACTTAAACTTCTCCCTTATAAAACTTTAACATTAAATGTCCTTGCATTTAATTCTTACAGCAGCCCTTCCTGGTGGTTTATGATCTCAAAAAAGATTAGATGTTAAATAGGCCACCATGTGTTTGTACTGTTACCAGCATGATGTTATGATGATGGGCAAAATGTTCAACTGCTCTGAATGAGCTGAATGAAAATAGCCTTTCTGAACATCTAAAATATGTGCTACATCTTAAAATATGAAAGCACTAAGATAAAAGTTCCCTGAAACATGCATGTTTCCAAATAGCTGCCTTTGCAGTTAATGATCAGGGAACGTTTCATATAGGTTCAGTTATGAATGGAAATGGATTAATTAAGGCTTATTTCAAAATGTTTCTTCCCAACATTTAATTTAAATGAACTGGATTGAAAATATGCTTATCCCAACCATTTGCAGTTTTAACTCTGGAATTTTCAATGTATGCTAGTAGAACCGGGTTTCAGGATACTTTGGAACCTAATGAACCTCATTTGAATAATTTAGTCCAATAAGAACTTTAAAATCTTTCTCCATAGGTGAGGAGTTTTTGAAGTATGTCTATATTCAAGTGGAGATCAAAGAAACCTAACTAAAAGAATTGTGGCAAGTAATTTCTTTATCTTACCACACCAAATTATCAGAGTATAATGGTCATTACCAAGGCTTTTAGAATGCAGTTTCTCAATTGCCGTGGACATGACCACAAAACATTTTTCCCACTGGGTTTTCTTTCTGCTACATTGTGAGCATTCAGCCTATTGGGAACATTTTATTAACCCTTGTTTTATTTCCATCGTCTAGATCAGCTCTGTCCAACATACAATATATATATAACAAGCTGTAATGTGATTACTTAATAGCCATTGGTATTCAGCAAGATTTCAACAGTAGCCATAGTAAGTGGTTATTATATTGAATAATGAATGCCTAGATTTAGAGTCATGCAGCTGTCCTTTGTCTAGTTAATTTCTTTTGGGTTGCTAATGACCAGATAGTTTGTGATCATGTGGTCATCTCTGTATTCCTGTTATATAGGACTGTCGTGACAACTGGATTAAGCAAAACTTATTTTAAAGGTATGTACACATTAGAAAAATAATTTATAGGTCATTTCAAAGAGAGCTTACAGGACAAAAACCAGGAGCTCTTAACGCTGTGACCAAAGATTAAAGTTCTCCATAGGATGTAATAGTCACTCAATAGTGCTATGTTTTCCTGAGGAGATATAAGATTTAGCTACATAAGTGATGTCGGAAAGTAAATAAATGTCTCCCAAGTTTAATCACTGCCTACTCTCTTCTTTCTTAGGGATCGAGACTCAAGAAGAACTGAGGCAGTGGAAAGGGGAATTCCTTAAATAAAAATTTATTTTAAATAATTATGCCTATGTTACACGTAATAAAAAACCTTTATGCTTTTTGTGGAAAGTCAGCATGTATTTTTGGCTCGAAGTTTTTCTAGTGTTTTCTGTGGAAGAAATAAGAATAGTTAGCAGTTAACAGTTGCATTGAACCTTTTTGACTTTTTGAAAAGTTGTAGGGGGCCCTGCTTACCTTATGAAATTCTTTTGCCCTTGCTCTATTTTGGGCATAAGCATCTTGCTTTGCTTTCTCATCTAACTGATTGTATAATCTGTAAGAAATTTATATGGAATTAAAGGCAAATATTTCAGAAATGTGAATTATATTTTATTATTCATATATACATACCTTAGAGCTCTTTGGTGCATGAGGGCTTGTGCAGTCTTTCTGTCTTGGGGAAGTAACACTCTAGTCACACCTTTTAGGCAACTCACAGATGAACCTGAGCAGATGGACAGATTTGATTTGAGAGATTCTATTTTTGGAAAATGATACAAATGTTTTTCAGAACATACCTGTAGGTTTCCCCTTAACTATTTTGCTTGGAGAATTTTCTGAGACACGAATTTTATTCTTTATTTCCTTCTGTCTCTGAGAGGATCTCTCTATAAATGATTTTTTTTTCTTTACAAATGCTTCTTGTAAGCTTCCTGGCATAGGTGTAAACTTGGGAATGGTTCCTGTTAAAACAAATTTGAAGCTACTTTCTTCTCACTGAAATTTTTTACGTCAGCAGTATGCAAGATTATGAGATTCCTACTTCCCACCTATCCCACCTAGAAAAGTGGAGGCTGTGAACTTGAGTAGAGAACTCCCGTGAGCCCCTGAATTTACTAACCATTTCAGATGCTCAGGGCATACCTGCTGATGCTATAGCTGGCTTCTCCACAGAATGCTCTGATACAGCTGGATAATCTGAGGTTTCTGTTTCTGATACAAGAGGCAGAAATTCACTCACCTAATTACAAAAAAGTCATAGATGAATTTACCACTTTTCACCTCATTGTATAGCAAAGGCTCTAAACTTAACCAGGTTTTATCTAAACCCTGATTCCCTTGGGAAGACAAAAAGATGCTATGTCCAATTAACTTGGCTCTAGTTCTCACTTGTTCACTGCTTTGTGTTCCCCTCATATCTGTCTCAATAGCTTTAGGTCTGAATTTTCTGGGAAGGGGAAGTATTTAATAAATGGTTTTATTTCTGAAAAGACTGTATGTTACCAGCAATACTAGAGAAGATTACTAAGTCTACCTGCCATCCTATCACCTCTACTATATCCTCACTACTTGTCTGTTGCCTCAATACCCTTGTCAGTAATCATAATTATCAGAGGTGAAGTCCATTCTAATTTGGCTTTAGGCCACAAAAATTAAAGACTTGCATACAACAAATTCTTCATTAACCTGGAGACTAAATTAAGATTACATTAATAGTAGAATTCTATTCATGACTGCCTTATAAGAACTGGAATTATGAGCCAGGCAAGAATCAAATGGTTTGCTTGTAGTGGACAAGCAGTACAGAAACATGCAGTCAGTATGATTTGAAATACGTTCTTATTTTTACATCAGGACTGAAAAGTGAAAAAACTTCCAAAACAACAACATTCTACCTCTGGTTTGGATTTCCTTATCCATTTTCTAGAGCACAGTACTGGTTCATCGCCTGTTAGTAAGTGGGTCACACAGTAGGAGGTGAGCGGCAGGCAAACCAGCGAAACTTCATTTGTGTTTGCGGCTGCTCCCCAGCAGTAGCATCACCACTTCGGCTCCACTTCATATCAGGCGTTAGATTCTCATAGGAGCACCGGTTCCTGGTGCCAAAAAGGTTGGGGACCACTGTTCTAGAGCACCTGTGCTGCCTCAGCTTTGGAACAAAGTATCTTTCATTGGAGAATGGAAGGCAAGAGTTCCAACTTAAGTCTGAATGAAATCTATTATATCAGAAATACACATATTTAGGACTACTACATGCTACTAAACAATATTATTGGGGGTTTGAGAGACTTGCTGTCAGCTCTCAGTTTTGGCTGTGAGCAAATTAAGACTCCTGTTCACTTAGTAGTTTGTACTTGAGCAGTAAACTGCAAACTAATATGAGGAAGGAAATTAGTTTGCAAACAATTATGGAAGAAAAAAATGCCATGTGGAGAGAAGTGAAAAGAACAATTATCCTTTTCTATTTCCCAATCCTCAGCTATGGGTTCCTGCTTAAATGAGGTGTATTACCTGAAAACTTTCTGCCTCATTCTCTTTCCTTTCTCCAAGGGTTAAGTTTGCAAAATCCACTTCAGCAATACTGACATCACTGGTGCTTACTAATGTAAGCTCTGGTTCTTCCATTATGCCATGGCCAGACTCTGTCTCCTGTGTAGTAAAATTAAAAAGGAAGCTAAATAGCCTTAAACATTCAAAATGAAATACTGTGCAATTATAGAACAGCAGACCAAGATAGTACACCTCTACTTTCAGAAACACTGGGGATGGGTAAAATAACATTTCTCTGAAAATATCTGCAAGGATTACAAACTCAAATGCTCACAAGGCTGGACAGATAAGTACAGGTTAACTGGGCTGTGCAGAATCAGAGGGTACATCCCATCTAAAAGGAGCAGCAGCTATTGGATTGCAGCCAAATGTAGGCAACTGCTGCCAGAATAAGGGAGATGCCATCTTTCAAACATTGAACAAGATTTTTTTGAAAGACTACAAAGTAAGTTGAAAAAAACAAAATGTAAAAGCAACCAAATCATATTCGTGGTCTAGATGTAGCCCTTATTTTCAATCTCTTAAAACATCTTCAATCTCTTACAATCTCTTATCTGTGGAAGGACAATACTATATTCAGGTGACGAGTTGAAACCTAGAACATTTAAGTCAACGCAGTGCAATGAAGTTCAACACAGGGCTGAAGCATATGCTAGCCACCGTACCTCAGGGAATTTAAATGTTATTTATACAACACAGATTTTACTTACCCAGACTGGAATAGAGCTCTGTAGTGAAAATGAACCAGAACTTAAAAACGGCTCAGACTGTGATAGCTGAGAGAGGTTTTGTGTGATTTTTGGAGTTTCTGCTTTAGTTGAGTTCTCAAAATATTTTTCATTCTGAAGAGTTAATGAATATGGTGTCTGAATTCCCATCTCCACTGTTCTTACACATAGCTGTGAGTCAGTTTCCTCTACAGATGGATTTGTATTTAAAACCCCACAGGTTTTATTATCATCAATGAGTCCTTGACTTTGTAACACTGGATCAACCCCTCTTTCTGATAGTTCTCCAAAGGCCAGTCTTTCTTTCCTGTCTTCTAGTTGGTCTTTCATTGAGCATGCACTAGAGGTAGAACTACGCGGAGGGCTATGCTGTAGATTTAACTGATGAAATACATTAGCCTCATCAGATAAACTGAAAACTGAATCTGGAAAATTTCCTACAGAAAGCTGGAAATGAACACTTTTTTTCTTATTTTGTAGTATTTCAGTCTGTTCAGAGGAGTAGTTCTGATTGTCCATGCCTTGGGAAGAATCTCTTGCTTCAATGCTAAAAATACTTGGTAGATCAGCATGCTGGCTCCCCTCCTGGGAAGAAAATTCTGGCAGAAGTTGTTTAAAAGATTGTTCAGATCCTGCATTAAGAAGTTTAAGAAATCAGTTAATCATCATATGTTATAAAACTTAAATAGAGATATAGTCCCTGACAGTCTGAGTAAACTGCAAAGGTTACTTCCTACAATTTTAGGAGAGGAAGCTCATGTTTGTAAACACGAAGAGAAAGCTAAAGGATGGTCAGTGATTTTTCAAATAACTCCACTACTCACGCAATGTATTTCCTAATATTTAATTTAAAAAATATGGCTATGAGGACATCTTCCCCCGTAAGAGAAGCAAATATTGATTTTGTTATAACAGGAGTTAGGTTAAAACATGAATGTGTATCTCATGTATAGTGTATGTGTGTGGGTGTGTGTATGTATAAAATTTGTACAAAGTTTCAGAAGGATATTTAAACTTAACTGTAAGGGTTGAGTTATGGAAAGTGAGCAAGAGACAGGACTTTTTTTTTATTTTATCGAGTTCATGACTGAAAATACAAACTCAGCATGTATTACTATTTAAACAAATACACAAAGAAATAGAACTTGTAACACTGGGGACCGGGAAGTGGACAGGAATAGAGACAAACCAAGAGCTGCTAGGCACAATTTCCAAGCAACCAAGAAAAAAGTATTTTTTTCCAACTTAATCATACATACCCTCGATAATATTTTCTGTGGGAAAACTGTGAGCTGCAGTGTGAGCCAAGTTAGGGTCAGGTTGCTGATTCAGGCCTATGTTAAGAGGAGAATGCAGGCTGGTCCTCAGTGCTGTAAAAGAAACTGTACTTTTGGATGACATAGTTGCATGGTGGCTTTCACATGAGGAGTCTGAGCTCTGAAGAAAAGAACAGGGAAACGCTGAAATACTGGTTATTTATTATAAGTTGAGACAATAATCCTTATGTTCTTTGATAGTACTCCTTAATTGCCACTTCACTATCACACTAATTTGCTTATTCAAACCCAATTCTTCCATTTCAATCAATATGAAAGAGACTACAGAATTAACCAGATTGAGTGTAGAACATGATGTCATTTTCTGAAAAGCAAAACTATGTGCAGCAGCCTGGGGTGTCAGGATGTACAAGTAGAAAGACCTAGGTTTGAATCTTAGCTCCTCTACTGTATAGAAAGAGACTTTAATTATATTTACCTGAACAGTTCAAGGCTGAATTCCATTAAAGTAAAAAACAAACAAAAATACTAAAAACAAACTAAAAATATTCTCAAGGCTTGTATGGGTCATACTCACTAGATGGAGATAAGGCTAACAGGACAAAATACTAATGCAGCTATTTTCAATCTTGGTTCTAAATTAGAATCACTTGGGGAGCTTTAAAAACAAATCCCGAAATCTGAGCACTCTTAGGGATTCTGTTTTAATTGGTCTGGGGTGCAGCCTGAGTATTGGGATTTTTAAAAGCTTACCACATGATTCCAATTGGCAGCCAAGGTTAACAACCATTTGTTCTCTTCTAACAGAAGAAAATTTAACAAACTGTTCTTGAAAATTCATTGCAATGAAGCATATACTTTAGTATACCTGGTAAAAGTCTCTGCTCTCTTGAGAAATCCCAGAGGATAATGATGACAAATCAAAATCTGGATGTGGTTCTAAGGGTTTAAACAGCTGATGATGCAAGTTTGGAAAAATGTGTTCCAATTCTGGAAAGTCAAGATCAACTGTTGGCATTTTGAGAAAAAAATATAAATTTATTTTTAAAATAAAGCCAAGAAAAGTAGTACTAAGAAATATTCATAAAAGCTTACTTTTAAGTAACTCTAAAATTCAACAAAATTGCTTCCATTTTTTTTCATTATCAGCAGATGTTTTCAGATTAAGTAGTACCATTATTTTCAACATACAAAAAATAGGGATATTCTCAGTGACCAAAACCTTTGACAAATATGTCTCCATTTCTACAAGGCCCAAAGTCTTATGAAATTAATTAGGACTGAGAGGCCATTATAATCACTGCTTTGTTATAAGCTTTGTTATTCTCACTTAGCTCACTTCAGGTCAATGATTAAAAAAAAAAGCTCACCATATGCAGCTTTTACTTAGTACTGAGCTTTTACTGTATTGAGTGTTACTATGGGCCACGCAATATCACAGCTAGTAAAACGGTCAAAGTAGGAGTCAAATCCAGGTCTGAGTGATTTCTGAGCTCTTGTTCTCAATATTGGCAATACATACTGCCTCAGGCTGTTATCTAACTTTGCAACTGTAATGGAAGATCTGCTACACTCTTCTACATGTCCTTCTGTCTAATTTGTTCCAAATCTTCTCTCTCACTAAACGCTCTGTTTTCCATAGCATAACTGTGCTGTGGCAGGCCATAAAAATGTGGAGCTCAAACAATCACTACTTAAAACTAAAAAGAATGAAAGGTTTAAAGTTAAAAACAGTTTATATGAAAGTATTTGTTCAAAATAATTTTACCCCGCAAGTCTTTTTGAGTCATCAAATTTGCTTCATTTATGTACTTGTCTATCATCTGCTGAACGTGCGCTTGACCAGATGTACATTTTTCCACTGCAGCCAACATAGGTTTATGAATGTCCCAAGAGGCCTGCCTTTGGTAAATAACTTGTGATGGAGGAACTATAGAACTTAAAATATTTGTTTCTTCTTCTTTGCCGGTGGTAGATTCTTGTTCCCTATGGTCCACATACTCTGAAAATGATTCTGAAAATTGAGTTTAATGAAAATTTTAGTGGCTGGGTACTTCCTTAGAGGTAAATTTTGGCAGAGAGGCACAGCGATATACATTTATAAGGGGTCACTGTAACCAAGAAATTTGCTCAAATAGCTTCCCACTGAATGGGAAAATGTGACATTAGCAGATGCTTTTCAAAGTGTTGGTGATCTACAGACCATCTTCAAGGGTCTGCAGGCCTGTGACTTCCAATGTTTAGAATATCATACTGTCCAAACTTTACTTTTGAGATTCAAAGAAACAGTCCCTCTCAGCACAATGTCAAAAGCAATGTTTGCTCTCACCATTGTATTGCAACTGAACGGATGCTGTCTCTCAATTTATTCACAAATGTTTTGACATTATTACCTGGATCTGTAAAGCTCAAATCTATGTTTTCATAACTTAAGCTCCCAGTAGAAACAGTTACTGAAGACAATGGCTCATGATAAATCTCTTGTGTGTCAGCCTAAAAATTAAAGAGAACAATAGACCATAATGTAGGAAATAATATCTGGAGAAAAACCCAAATCACCAATATCGGCAGTTACGAATTCTGAGCTCAGATCAAGTGTAGAAACCTTCATATTTATAAGGTCAGTAGTAACACCTTTTCATCATTGCTCAGAACTGATTAGCCTTTCATGCACACATAACTCCCCAACCCCAAATCTCATTCATTCATCAGCAAATCCTCACTTACCCACTGTTACTTTTACACACACACACACACACACACACACACACACACACTCCTATTGTTTATACTTTTGCTTCTCAGAACTATAGAGATCATGCATCAGGTAGACTGGAAGGTCTTCTGATGCTCAGATTTGGCTATTTTCATCATTGATCCACTTAGAAGTAGATCTCAGAGAACACTAACATTTAACAAATGTTCATTTCTATGAACAAAACAAAAGAGAATATAAAGCCAAATAACTCTAACAATGCAGTGCACATTAAGACATTACTAACCTTACTATCTGGCTTCACAGCTGGACTCAGATATGTATGTTCTTCTTCCTCCACGGCATAACTTAATACTGCATGATTCTCAATCACAGCCTCCTTAACCTTGACTGAAATGGAAGGAAAAAAGGTATGCATTATGACAAATCAAAATCTTGGCACCAGAAAGCATCATTTCCTGCTTTCCTACAATTTTCTTTCATATTTTGCTTTTAGAGTTTCCTTATATTAGACCAAAAAGAAAAAAATGAACAGAAAAAAATCATTCATTTTATTATTCAAACATTTACCAGTCAGCACAATATACTTTTTTTTCTTGGAAAACTGTAGGTGTCATTGTTATTTTATGAATAAAACTCTTTTGAAAAGAGCCAATGTGATGTGAAATAGTTTGTCATCGTTTTAAGTGAATAAACAGGAATATTCAATCATAAATACAGTATGATCTCAAAGTTGAGAAAAACATATAAAAAGGACAACCAGTGGTTGCTTATGAATGGTAGGACACAGAGGAATTTTCTTTTTAACTTTTAATGCTTTCTAAAATCACAATGAGCATGCATTGCTTTTATTATGAACTATCATTTATAATTATATTTGAGATACTAAAATACATATAAAATTATATTTTGTCTCACTATTAATAATTCAGGTATACTGAGTTAATTTTTCTCTTATGTCCAGCAGCCAACATTTACGAAAATGCCAGCTAAGGCATATGATTAGCTATGGCTCTAAAAATTAAAACTGCTCCACCAAATATAAACTAAAAATTTCTGTCTCATTATCGCCATGTTATTAAGAGATCATGCACATTAAAAGTATGTTTCTTAAATGTTTGTGTAGGAAATGTTTTCTAAAGGGTAACCCAGGACACAGACACACACACATGTATATCTGTATCTGTGTGTGTATGTACATATTTACTTATAAAATATCTATATTATAGACATTAAAGTAGGAATAAGGCTAATACCAATCACAGCCTCCTTAACCTTGACTGAAATTTAAAAATATATTACTATATAATATATTATATAGTTCATTTAAAAATATATTACTATGACATAAGTGAAAGAACCATTTAACTGTTATTTGGTAGCTTCTATAACACACTAGAATTTTAAGTAAAGAAGATAAGATGGTAAAATTTTATAGTGAGTTATTTTTTCTTAAGTATCTCATTTCAAAAGCTAGTTGGGACATTGGAAATTAATCTGGGTTTTTTTAATTCACACACAATTATATACTACTCTCTATAATATACCAAGATAACCTCAGAGGAGAGATGAATGAACAGGGTAGCATTTGAGTAGTGGTAGAAAGTGAAAAACAAAAATTGGAGAAAAGAGCAGAGTCAGAGTTATTTAAGATACTAAAGAATTCAATGAATAGGTCCTTGAAAGTAGTTGGAAGAGAAATAACTGTCATTGGTTTGGAAATGGTTCAGTGACAGTAGAGACCCATTAGGAGCTTCATAAAAACAAAGTAACATTATGAAAGCAATGCCTTAAAGCAATCTTTCCATGCTAAGAGGAAGGCAACATTTTCTGCTTTCCTACAAAAGCAAGGGTGCAGAGCTTGAAGTTATTGATGCCATCTAACAGCTATTAAGATATAAAGGTGAGCTGATGAGGACCCGAACAAAGTGCTAGGGAGGGAATGGAGAAGTAACGAAACTAAGACCCTCCCTTCTATGATAAAAACAATATAAATCTGAGGCTGATTATGAGAGGAGAAAAGCAGCCCCCGAGCCAGGAGCTGATCTGGCACAATCAGCAGGGCCTTGGTGTTCTCCTGTTAAACATTAACGATTTCACAGAACACCAATATCAGAAAAGTCCACTCTGTGACCATGATGATGGATCAAGAAAAAAAATAGACTACTCGTACTCATTTCTGAACATAGAAAAAATCATGACTATTGTCCAGACCACAAAAATGACCAAGAATCTCCTTATCCTGACTAACAGAAGTGACTGCTGCTTCATTATTACAGCTTTAATTGGCTTCACTCCATTATTTCTACCTCCTAAATAAGAATTTTTTAGGTATCCCAAAATAGAATTACCCTGTTCCCTGATAACATCCAATACTAAGCAAAGCCCCATTTCCTTGAATCTTCCCCCAAATCACCTAATACAAGCCCAAATATTACAGTAACTTCTAATACCCACTTATTGAAACATCTTATGGTCCCCTGTCATGGCATTCTACCTCACCACCACAAGTCAAAATCACCCAGCTTTGCTCAACTACAGGTGTGTTCCTGGTAGTCTGGCTAGAGGACATCAACAGCTAGAATAAAAAGGAAATACAAGTATCTGATGGCTAAATCTAAAAGAATGATATAGCGGTTTTACTTTAAAATGTCAAAAACTGTAATTCACTGGAAATTATATCTGTTGCAGTTATTTCAATCTCCAATTTAAAAAAAAAAAGTGAAAGTCGATTTCTCGATAAACCCTCAAAAAGAAAATAGGTCTCTCTCACCTTTCGTTCTATTGAACTATATAGATAAAACTAAGATAATCATTCATGTACATGTGAAAGCTAAAATAAAAAGAAATCTGGTTAGAAAAGGTAACTACTTAAAAGGTGCTCTAGAATTAATAAAGCGGTACAAGAACTATGCTCTGTAGGTAAACGTAATACATGTAAAATAGCTTGTTGTATACTTACATAAATTCAAAAGCAAGAAAATTAAAATTGCTTGTCTTTGGGTGGCAGAATTAAGAGATTTAAAGTTTTGTCCTTGTAACTCTTTTTTTCCAAATGTTTAAAAGTAAACATAAAATAGCTCATTTAGAAAGCCATACATAGAACTTTTTAAATATAATATTTAATAGTATTTAAATGTGAATTGTTATGAATAGGCTTAAATACAAAATTTGTAAAGGTTGACAACTATAAAAACCTCATATTTTCATATACTTCCTACCAGCATTTACTTAGTGAAACAACAGAAAAGTGAAATGATTCTTTAAATAAACTTCACTTACTTCATTCAACTTTTTCTGTACAGAAATACATGCTTCTTATAAAAAAAAAAATCTACAATATGTGAACATAAAAAATAGAAAGTAAAACCCTGTCTCCAACAAA